TGGTAGAGAATTTATGATATGGAATCCTTCAAACTTTTAAAATTCATAGTTAAATAAATTTGACTGACTGATCGGATATTTTTCATTGAAAGACCGGATTCAAACAGTTTATTATGTCTATAAAGCTAACAACTGTATACTATACCATTACAAGCAATGTCTTCAGTTTGTAACTAAAGGTATTTTTGGTTACAAATAAAGGTGACCTACTATGTCACTGAATAAGGATTAAAGATGGTTCGTCAAAGAAAAGATTTCTCTTTAACAGTGTCTTAAATATGATCAAATACCCCCTAAAGCATAAAATATTTAAAAATTTACTGCATCATATAAAGACTAACTTCCGTTTTGAATTGGTAGCTTCATTGTCAAATGACTGCTTTATTTTTAAGATACATAACATACTACTTAATTAGTTGGAAGTAACCTAAAAGTAAAGCTGATAATTTTTGCAGTCAGTGTTACTAGACATGATAGAACAAAATACAATTTAAATTTCTCTGAATAATATATTTTAGGCATGTAGTAGTATCACCGAGCATTCAAACGTGTCTAAAAATGGCTAGAAACTAAAAGCTAATCGCTTGTCAGAAATGGTTGAAGAAGAAATCAGGTGATTATGGTTACTTTAATTCACCTTTGATTATGCAATCACACTCAAATGAAATCTGTCTGTAAACTGATAATTCAAACAATTCGTCTAATCAGAAAGTAAATTTTTACTTAAATGCATTGGTACTGAATACTTATACTTCTCAGACTTGTAAATGCATGTGATAGTAAATAATTGGTAGGGTAAATTTTTAATTGCAGCAATCAACCTTTAACATTTTTGTTTACTACAAAGCTGGTGTGACTCACTCGTGATTCGAATGTCATCAAAACTAAATAAAATAAAAAAGTACTATAATTTGGACGTTTGTTTGATGCAGAAAAACGAAACTTCTCACAATTTGTGGATAGGTCCTACCACTGACTGTTATATAATAATCATGTGCTGGACAGCTGTTCTGTACTAGTTTCTAAAACCTCAGAAGTATGCTCACAGGACACAAAATCAGTTTGACCCTAAATCCCCGAGTATCATGATATGCGCTAAATAAATGAATCACATCTTAAATATCATCCACTGTGTAATGCAGAGTTATTCTCGTCCAGTAGCGTAGATGAGTTACATAATCAATGTCGATGGGTATAAAATACGGCCTTCGACCATATTTTCCGGAAATCTATCTTTGAGATATTTGCATATGATTGAATAGTTTTTATCTACACGAACTGTGCCTTACTCAATAAAGTAAGAAAATGAATAATAGTAATAAAAAATTACTGTCTTTTACACATTTACTATCTAGATCTTAATCTTAATTTACTACATTTAGTTGAACGGGATTAAGAAGTAATAATGGGAAGAATTGCGGTCATTATTATTTTAATTAAATATAACCATAGAATACTATTACTTAAATTATGATTTATCAAGTGATTTCTGACAAATGAGAATATTTTTATATCTCCATAACGAAACTTTAAATATTTATTGCAACTGTTTGGAAGTTACCTCGATAAGAAAGTGAAGTGAGGGAAGAACATTTGTTCCAATTTCTGAAGTTATTACTTACTTAGTTAAGCCTGTTACCTCCAATAGAGCATGGGCCACCGACCATCATTCTCCAACTCACACTTTCATGGGCCTTTCCTTTTAGTTCCATCCAATCGTTGTTCATTTTTATCATGTCTGTCTCCGTTTTTCGACGTAATGTGTTTTTGGTCTTCCTCTCCTCCTTTGGCATTGAGCATTCCAAGTGACAGCTTGCCTTGTAATGTAGTTGGGCGCTTTCCTCAATGTATCCTATCCACCTCCAGCGCTTCCTGATTTCTTCCTCCACTGCAATCTGGTTTGTTCTCCCCCATAGTAGGTCGTTGTTGATAATGTCTGGCCAACGGATCCGAATTATTTTGAGTAGACAGCTGTTAATAAACACTTGTATGTTCTGGATGGTGGCTTTCGTAGTTCTCCAAGTTTCCGCCATATACAGTGAAACTGTCTTGACACTTGTATTCAAAATTCTGAAGTTAGTGCTGAGGCTACTGCTACACTGGTCGTTTTCTCCTGCATTCGTTGTTGCGTGTGCGATGGAAGAGCTAGTTTGAATTTTGATTAGATGGATAAATAGCGTAGATGCCTTTACGGAAAACAAACGTTTTGTTAAAAATATGGTATGAAATTATTTTTGTCCGTACAATAAGTTGCTTAGCCTTCGTAAACGTTAAAATGAATAGCACTGGAATACATGAACTATGCATTTAGTAGGATACATTCAACACTTCAAATTTTGGCTGACTGGAGACCTAATAAACTAACATTCATTTCTCTCTGAAAAATTATCCAGTACTCTTCATGTACATATCTTCTTTTGCTCTAAATTGTCACAACCTACAATTATCTGAGGTAATCAATATTCTCTTAGATATTTGAATTTACTATTAACCTTACTCATTGTTTCCTACTTAATCCATGTTATTTCATCCAATCTTTACGTTTTAATGTACACATCTTAAATAATGGCTTGTAATTTTCATTTTTCGATACTGCAACTGTTTCATGCTCTAGTAAATATCACTTTACTCATGTTCACCATTAGAATCATGAAGTTATTGTGCATTATTAAGGAAACATCTTAAAACTAAGATGAATAGTATGTGTTCGTCAACTGACAGAAAGTTCAATTACAGTCCCATAGTTCACCGATTTACTTACAAGCTTATGATTAAATATAAACCACATGACATTTGTTTGATCAATGGATTTTGATAAGCTCATCACTGGTTTTAAGCTTAACCAAGTCACATTTGATACCCTATTTTTTGGTCACGTGGCTTAGCAAGTCAGTAGCCTGAATCACAAGTTACTCTGCTAGTCAAAATAAGTGCAAAGGCTTTTTGAAACAGAGATTCTGAAAGTAGGTGTATCTTAGTTCAAAAGTAAGACCTTGTGCCAACGATCCATTTGGGTTTCGTTATCCCAAAAACATGACAACACCAAGCCTGCCAATAGATGTATTAAAAAGTTTTGATTGACGATAGGCTTCGGCAGTGATCAGGAAGTAACATTCGAAAATATGAAACTGTTCACAGCGCGTCATTTATTTAGGTCAAAGTAAATCAATGCTTTTCACGTAATAATTTCTATCCTATTTTCTAAGTCTAATAAAGACGACTTTTAAAACAAGCGATATTCTATGAGCTACTGTGCTTAGAAAACCGATCCGTATGCAACAAGCATGTTATTAGGACCGATAATTATTTGGACATTTCAGGGTACTATATTTACTTAACTGAAGAAAATGTAACTTCTCTGGAATCTAGTTATAGAATAGCAAATACACTTCAATATCTCAGAATTATTTTCAACATTTGTTTAACAATCCTTTAACCTGATTATTTTTCGGATGATTAATTTGAATATATAATTAAAGAACCTGAAAAGAATCTATCGAAAAGAATATTCGTCGTCCAAATATTAGTCTTTTAATATGATGGGAATCTTTAAACGATTAACATTAGTAACTACCAAAAAAATGCTTAAAACGTATATAAAGTTCTTACAACATTGATAGTTTTTATGCCTTAAAAATATGATCGATATTATTATAAATAAGAGTCTATTAAAATTAGTTTCTAGGCAGATTATCTGTCATTGTAAAATAGTTCAATTAAGTTTAATAATTTATTATATTTATTAAAAGTAATTGGATGAGACTATAATTTATGGACGACCTCTGAGTGACACTAACAATCCCTTGAAAATGTCAACCTAAGTACTACAGTTAAATAAGGGTTATAAACCAGTTTGAGGAATTAGAATTAATATTTATAGTTGATAGCTAGGGTCAGGAATTGGATATAGAGTATTCATCACCAACTGAGATCAGATATAACACAAAAACTTTTTGGAAGCAATGATGGATAGTGACTAGCAGTGGAATCCAAGACGCGCGTTTCATCCCATTTGGGACTTGTCAGCTGGATGTACCTACATCTCAGAGTTGATGTTCGCTCTGGGACTCGAGCGCCATCGCGTTATCCACTCAGCTACTGAGTCCTGATAGCCACTTGCTTATGCAATGGGGTGAATTTAAATTCACTTGATATTGTTTTGCTTGTATTGAGTTTTAAGACGAAACGTACGTCCTGGATTCCACTGCTAGCCACTATCCATCATTGCTTACAAAAATGATCAGGACGTTTTAATCAAATTTATTAAATATTTAAAACTCAATTTTATTGAATAATACATTTATTTTTGTTGTTTAAGTAATATCAGAAAAACAAACAAAATAAGCATAAAACTAATTAATAATTAATTGAACATTAAAAAAACTTATTTTTCTTTTTTTTTAATTACACTTTATAACTGAACGACAATTACTTCATATGAGTTCAGAGAGAAAAAAAATCAAAAAATATATCGGTTATTGATCACAAAACAAAAAAAGGGAAATTTTTCTGGTTTTTACAGAAAACGATGATAATAATTCCTTAAAAGTATTTTCTTACAAAAAAAAAGAAATTTGACAATAAACAAAAGCTTAGAGTAGAAAAAAATGTTCTAATAATTAATGATTAGTTATTTTGTTTATGGGATAAATAAAGAGAAAAAGAAATGTAGTTTATATGTTTAAATTAACATTTTAAGTGATTATTACTATATAACTTCAATCTGGAATGTATGTACTATCTAATGATATGAAAAATTTATAATAAACACTTCATTAAATCTATGTACGTATTTAGTATTTATCATATTACTATTATTATTATAAGTAGTACTCGTCAAAGTTTGAAATTTTGTTAGAGATGATTGAAAATACTATCGATGAAGTAAAATGAAATTTCAACTTAATGTAATGTAATATAAAATTAATATATAATTTTGGGCTTACAGTTTTATTTTTGCAAACATAAAGAAATATATAGAGATATTAAATCATTTAATCCTAATTTTCATCAATATATTTCCATGCTTTTGAACTTATATTGGGTTTGTTCATACTTATCTCTTGATAATGAGATGTGGTTTCATTATTTTTAACAAAATTATTAGTATTTATAGTAGGAGTATCTGGAAATTCATCTTCTTTATCATGAGTATGTTCAACAGAATTTAATATATTTTGATTTGTTTGGTTTTTCCTATCACCGCTATCATTGCTTTGTCTACGCCATGCACCAGTTAATATAACATCATTATCTAAATTCGATGTTAAACAGAGACGTTCAGGGTTGGGAGATTTAAAAGTAAAACCACAATCACATGAAGAACAATCATCAGTGGAAAGTAAAGCTTCATGAGCTAATATTTTAGCTTTTATATGTTGTTTTCTTCGTAGTTCAAGACGTTTTTGTATTGCTGGTGTTTTCATTGAATTAGTAGATTTATTACTTTTGCTTTCATTAACTATTCCTTCTACAGCTGTAAATGAATCGTGTGTACTGTTTCTGGATTGAAATCTATTTCTTCCTAATGAGGTATTTTGTACATTGTTATCGTTTTCTTCAATATGTGACAGGGTTATACTACCAGAATATTTATTACGTCGATGACGAATCCAAATGAGAACAAGAATTGAAGACAGAACTAACATAATAACCAGAATACATAATAGAATGAAACCAATTGTTAAACCATATTTGAATTCAAGCCGATTATGCTCATGAATATAAGGTCCACTAATATGTATGTTAATATTTCTGTTCCTTGGAATGTCAGTTGAAAACACATGCGGAGAAACTTTATCATTATTCTGCAATACTTCGTTGTTTAAAGACTTAATAATTCCTCCAACTGCACTACGATCAAAATGAAAATCATAATCAAGGGAAACGGTGGAACCGATCGTAGATATAAGTAAAGGGTCAATCACTGATAAGTTTTCAGTTGGAGCTAGAGAGACAGTCGTCACTTCCTCGGATACTGAGGTTTCTGGACTCGAGTCCTGAATCACTGACACATCTGCAGTTGGAGCTGGAGAGACAGTCGTCACTTCCTCGGATACTGGGGTTTCTGGACTCGAGTCCTGAATCACTGACACATCTGCAGTTGGAGCTGGAGAGACAGTCGTCACTTCCTCGGATACTGGGGTTTCTGGACTCGAGTCCTGAATCACTGACACATCTGCAGTTGGAGCTGGAGAGACAGTCGTCACTTCCTCGGATACTGGGGTTTCTGGACTCGAGTCCTGAATCACTGACACATCTGCAGTTGGAGCTGGAGAGACAGTCGTCACTTCCTCGGATACTGGGGTTTCTGGACTCGAGTCCTGAATCACTGACACATCTGCAGTTGGAGCTGGAGAGACAGTCGTCACTTCCTCGGATACTGGGGTTTCTGGACTCGAGTCCTGAATCACTGACACATCTGCAGTTGGAGCTGGAGAGACAGTCGTCACTTCCTCGGATACTGGGGTTTCTGGACTCGAGTCCTGAAATCACTGACACATCTGCAGTTGGAGCTGGAGAGACAGTCGTCACTTCCTCGGATACTGGGGTTTCTGGACTCGAGTCCTGAATCACTGACACATCTGCAGTTGGAGCTGGAGAGACAGTCGTCACTTCCTCGGATACTGGGGTTTCTGGACTCGAGTCCTGAATCACTGACACATCTGCAGTTGGAGGCTGGAGAGACAGTCGTCACTTCCTCGGATACTGGGGTTTCTGGACTCGAGTCCTGAATCACTGACACATCTGCAGTTGGAGCTGGAGAGACAGTCGTCACTTCCTCGGATACTGGGGTTTCTGGACTCGAGTCCTGAATCACTGACACATCTGCAGTTGGAGCTGGAGAGACAGTCGTCACTTCCTCGGATACTGGGGTTTCTGGACTCGAGTCCTGAATCACTGACACATCTGCAGTTGGAGCTGGAGAGACAGTCGTCACTTCCTCGGATACTGGGGTTTCTGGACTCGAGTCCTGAATCACTGACACATCTGCAGTTGGAGCTGGAGAGACAGTCGTCACTTCCTCGGATACTGGGGTTTCTGGACTCGAGTCCTGAATCACTGACACATCTGCAGTTGGAGCTGGAGAGACAGTCGTCACTTCCTCGGATACTGGGGTTTCTGGACTCGAGTCCTGAATCACTGACACATCTGCAGTTGGAGCTGGAGAGACAGTCGTCACTTCCTCGGATACTGGGGTTTCTGGACTCGAGTCCTGAATCACTGACACATCTGCAGTTGGAGCTGGAGAGACAGTCGTCACTTCCTCGGATACTGGGGTTTCTGGACTCGAGTCCTGAATCACTGACACATCTGCAGTTGGAGCTGGAGAGACAGTCGTCACTTCCTCGGATACTGGGGTTTCTGGACTCGAGTCCTGAATCACTGACACATCTGCAGTTGGAGCTGGAGAGACAGTCGTCACTTCCTCGGATACTGGGGTTTCTGGACTCGAGTCCTGAATCACTGACACATCTGCAGTTGGAGCTGGAGAGACAGTCGTCACTTCCTCGGATACTGGGGTTTCTGGACTCGAGTCCTGAATCACTGACACATCTGCAGTTGGAGCTGGAGAGACAGTCGTCACTTCCTCGGATACTGGGGTTTCTGGACTCGAGTCCTGAATCACTGACACATCTGCAGTTGGAGCTGGAGAGACAGTCGTCACTTCCTCGGATACTGGGGTTTCTGGACTCGAGTCCTGAATCACTGACACATCTGCAGTTGGAGCTGGAGAGACAGTCGTCACTTCCTCGGATACTGGGGTTTCTGGACTCGAGTCCTGAATCACTGACACATCTGCAGTTGGAGCTGGAGAGACAGTCGTCACTTCCTCGGATACTGGGGTTTCTGGACTCGAGTCCTGAATCACTGACACATCTGCAGTTGGAGCTGGAGAGACAGTCGTCACTTCCTCGGATACTGGGGTTTCTGGACTCGAGTCCTGAATCACTGACACATCTGCAGTTGGAGCTGGAGAGACAGTCGTCACTTCCTCGGATACTGGGGTTTCTGGACTCGAGTCCTGAATCACTGACACATCTGCAGTTGGAGCTGGAGAGACAGTCGTCACTTCCTCGGATACTGGGGTTTCTGGACTCGAGTCCTGAATCACTGACACATCTGCAGTTGGAGCTGGAGAGACAGTCGTCACTTCCTCGGATACTGGGGTTTCTGGACTCGAGTCCTGAATCACTGACACATCTGCAGTTGGAGCTGGAGAGACAGTCGTCACTTCCTCGGATACTGGGGTTTCTGGACTCGAGTCCTGAATCACTGACACATCTGCAGTTGGAGCTGGAGAGACAGTCGTCACTTCCTCGGATACTGGGGTTTCTGGACTCGAGTCCTGAATCACTGACACATCTGCAGTTGGAGCTGGAGAGACAGTCGTCACTTCCTCGGATACTGGGGTTCTGGACTCGAGTCCTGAATCACTGACACATCTGCAGTTGGAGCTGGAGAGACAGTCGTCACTTCCTCGGATACTGGGGTTTCTGGACTCGAGTCCTGAATCACTGACACATCTGCAGTTGGAGCTGGAGAGACAGTCGTCACTTCCTCGGATACTGGGGTTTCTGGACTCGAGTCCTGAATCACTGACACATCTGCAGTTGGAGCTGGAGAGACAGTCGTCACTTCCTCGGATACTGGGGTTTCTGGACTCGAGTCCTGAATCACTGACACATCTGCAGTTGGAGCTGGAGAGACAGTCGTCACTTCCTCGGATACTGGGGTTTCTGGACTCGAGTCCTGAATCACTGACACATCTGCAGTTGGAGCTGGAGAGACAGTCGTCACTTCCTCGGATACTGGGGTTTCTGGACTCGAGTCCTGAATCACTGACACATCTGCAGTTGGAGCTGGAGAGACAGTCGTCACTTCCTCGGATACTGGGGTTTCTGGACTCGAGTCCTGAATCACTGACACATCTGCAGTTGGAGCTGGAGAGACAGTCGTCACTTCCTCGGATACTGGGGTTTCTGGACTCGAGTCCTGAATCACTGACACATCTGCAGTTGGAGCTGGAGAGACAGTCGTCACTTCCTCGGATACTGGGGTTTCTGGACTCGAGTCCTGAATCACTGACACATCTGCAGTTGGAGCTGGAGAGACAGTCGTCACTTCCTCGGATACTGGGTTTCTGGACTCGAGTCCTGAATCACTGACACATCTGCAGTTGGAGCTGGAGAGACAGTCGTCACTTCCTCGGATACTGGGGTTTCTGGACTCGAGTCCTGAATCACTGACACATCTGCAGTTGGAGCTGGAGAGACAGTCGTCACTTCCTCGGATACTGGGGTTTCTGGACTCGAGTCCTGAATCACTGACACATCTGCAGTTGGAGCTGGAGAGACAGTCGTCACTTCCTCGGATACTGGGGTTTCTGGACTCGAGTCCTGAATCACTGACACATCTGCAGTTGGAGCTGGAGAGACAGTCGTCACTTCCTCGGATACTGGGGTTTCTGGACTCGAGTCCTGAATCACTGACACATCTGCAGTTGGAGCTGGAGAGACAGTCGTCACTTCCTCGGATACTGGGGTTTCTGGACTCGAGTCCTGAATCACTGACACATCTGCAGTTGGAGCTGGAGAGACAGTCGTCACTTCCTCGGATACTGGGGTTTCTGGACTCGAGTCCTGAATCACTGACACATCTGCAGTTGGAGCTGGAGAGACAGTCGTCACTTCCTCGGATACTGGGGTTTCTGGACTCGAGTCCTGAATCACTGACACATCTGCAGTTGGAGCTGGAGAGACAGTCGTCACTTCCTCGGATACTGGGGTTTCTGGACTCGAGTCCTGAATCACTGACACATCTGCAGTTGGAGCTGGAGAGACAGTCGTCACTTCCTCGGATACTGGGGTTTCTGGACTCGAGTCCTGAATCACTGACACATCTGCAGTTGGAGCTGGAGAGACAGTCGTCACTTCCTCGGATACTGGGGTTTCTGGACTCGAGTCCTGAATCACTGACACATCTGCAGTTGGAGCTGGAGAGACAGTCGTCACTTCCTCGGATACTGGGGTTTCTGGACTCGAGTCCTGAATCACTGACACATCTGCAGTTGGAGCTGGAGAGACAGTCGTCACTTCCTCGGATACTGGGGTTTCTGGACTCGAGTCCTGAATCACTGACACATCTGCAGTTGGAGCTGGAGAGACAGTCGTCACTTCCTCGGATACTGGGGTTTCTGGACTCGAGTCCTGAATCACTGACACATCTGCAGTTGGAGCTGGAGAGACAGTCGTCACTTCCTCGGATACTGGGGTTTCTGGACTCGAGTCCTGAATCACTGACACATCTGCAGTTGGAGCTGGAGAGACAGTCGTCACTTCCTCGGATACTGGGGTTTCTGGACTCGAGTCCTGAATCACTGACACATCTGCAGTTGGAGCTGGAGAGACAGTCGTCACTTCCTCGGATACTGGGGTTTCTGGACTCGAGTCCTGAATCACTGACACATCTGCAGTTGGAGCTGGAGAGACAGTCGTCACTTCCTCGGATACTGGGGTTTCTGGACTCGAGTCCTGAATCACTGACACATCTGCAGTTGGAGCTGGAGAGACAGTCGTCACTTCCTCGGATACTGGGGTTTCTGGACTCGAGTCCTGAATCACTGACACATCTGCAGTTGGAGCTGGAGAGACAGTCGTCACTTCCTCGGATACTGGGGTTTCTGGACTCGAGTCCTGAATCACTGACACATCTGCAGTTGGAGCTGGAGAGACAGTCGTCACTTCCTCGGATACTGGGGTTTCTGGACTCGAGTCCTGAATCACTGGCACGTCTGCTGTTTTAGGTAAGTCTTCAGTTATTTCTTCGTTGTTCATTGATATTTGTTTGGTTTTGTTCGATTCATCTGTCTCCTCCTCCTTGTTTGTTTTATTTTCATCTGTTTTTTGTTCATTTTCTGTAATCGTTCTGTCTTCTAATTTTTGTTTTTCATTCTCATTAGTTTCATGTTTTGATGGTGGGTCTTTTTCATAATCATTATCCTGATTATATTCTTTCATGATATTCTTCATTTTGTCATGGTTTTCTTCATTTGTAATAATGTCTTTTTTAATCCTTCTATTTATTTTGTATTTATTGTTTATTTTTATTTGTTTTTGGTTATTTTTTTGCTTGTTGTTTCTGTTTATATTTTTTGTACTTGATGAATATGCATTGAATGCTTCTGAATCAATATTATTTGCTGAACGTTTTCTCCTATATTTGTTTCTTATTAATATTCTATTATTATTTGTTAATAATTTATTTTTATTTTTTATGTTTATTTCTTTCTTTATTAAATTTTTCCCTAACTTATTGTTACCAAGTTCTTCATTGAAACTTTGTTCTTCACCAATTAATTGATCGATTTCATTATCATATTCCTCTTCTTTATTGATTTTCATATTTGACACTTTTGTTATTGAATGATCAGTATTCATTTCTGTTAAATTAATAATTTTCTGAATATAATAATCATCTAAATGATCAATTGATCGATTTTCTTTATCATCCAAATTAGTTATCATATTCTTTATGATTAAATTATTCAATATAGTATCCTTGTTTATACTAAGTAATAAATGTATAAAGGATTGATTATTAAACATTTTTAATAAAGATAAATCTTTCATATTATTATTATTTAAATCAATAATCAATTGTGTAAAATTTTTATTGGATAATTGATTTTTAATTATTTCATTAGATATTATATTACGTAATAAGATTTCATTATTTATATTTTTATTAATAATAAATTTACCTTTAGAATGGTTTAGTTTATCATTTAATTCTTTTATTCTAAATATTGTGGAACATTGTTTATGATTACATGAATTGTCAATAAATTGATTTTGTTTTAATTTAATTGAATTATTGATTTTTTGATTGAAATTATTATTTTTTAATGAATAATTACTTTCTTTATTATTATTGTTATTATTATTATTCATAAGGTTATTTATTGTATTAAATGTTTGTATTGAAGCAATATCTTTAAATAATAATAATAATAATTGGTTATAATTATCATGAATGATATTATTAGTAGGAATAATTTCTCTATTATTATTATTTAATTGTTTATCATTTAGATTGGATAATGTTTCATTATGTTGATTTAAGGTTTTGTTCATCATAGGTAATGAATGAATACTTATATGAAATAATAAAAATAATACTATCGTTATTATGATCATTATTTCAATGGATTTTGTTTTTGTTTTATTTTAATCCAAGAATTATTGTAAATGAAAATTTATCAATTAGTACTTTAATTTATAAAATAGTTGTATGAATATTATCAGACTTTTTTAAAATCCATGTTAATGTTATTAGAGATTGTCAAATGAAAGACTAAGTCCATATCTGTTAGTTCACACTATTTGTTTAGTATTACATCACTCATTATATATATATATACATATATTGGATGATATGAACATGCTCTACCAATAAACTTTATCTTCTATATATATCTATACAATGCGTGGGTACAGATAAATAAGGATAAGTTTGATATATATCAAGTCTGTTTCTTTATATAAGTATAAACATGCAAACCGAATTGGACAAATAGTTTTCTCGTACATTTTGTACTTCTATCATCGTTTTTTTGTGTGATTTTATGTATGTATGCAAACATGTATGTACACCTATTGGTGTATTTGTGATAAACATCTAAAACTTTGATAAAAGCATCATTTTCATATATGGTGTAAATTTCACTCATTTAATATTATATTTATTAATAAGGATAATTTGCATGTGAAAAAGTGTGAGATAGTCATCAACATGAGGGAGACAAGAAAAAAAGATACAACATCCAAGAAGAAGAAATAAATGCAGACAAGTACTTAATGTTGAAGAATAAATCGATCTACATGTGTATGATTAGCTTAATGACTAAAATGAGATGCTACATTCTTGTTACTTAGTAAGTATCTACAAACATAAATATAAACATAACTATTCGTAAATATAATTCTGCATATAATAGTTACTCGACGAGTTTTTTTTAATGATTAACGGAGAAAGAGGACATTTGAATTATTAACCATAATTGATGGTACATATCAAAACATTGATTTCTGAAAGGAACATAAAGAGTGCAGTTGTAAGACTACAATTGCTTATTTTAGAGCTAATGGTTTGATAGTTGATATCTTATTTTAGAAAATATGTATTGTTTAGATTGCACAACGAAATATTTGCAGCCTACCAATAATATTAGTTTGAATAAAGTGAGAGTTTGTCGATTGATGTAAACCATCTTAGAATAGCAAGTAATTCCTCTTGACTACAATTCGAATCTCAAATCCCAAATGAGGATAGCTCTTACTCGTGTAAATCATGATGTATCACTATGCTTATCTTAAATATAACTTTTTTGTAGTTAATTTGGTTTCAACACATACATTACGCTTGACATAATTTCTTAACAGGTAAAATACGTATATGGAATATGGTTTAAACAAGATACTTAATTTAGAATACCATAGTATTTTTAATTTTCAGGAAAAAAATGAACTAATTTAATTGTCAGATGATAAACAATCATAATTTTCAACAGTTAAATCATCAAAAACTACTTGTTTTGTAGTGTTAAGCTATTTCTATGTTTAGGAATAATTCAGTTTCTTCAGACACTGAACTGTAACATACATTAAAATTCTGTGGAGTTTTAACCTACATATTTTAAATGGTAGTATTTAGACATGAAAAGATACTGATAAATAGAAGAAACACCAAGAGGATATTGTTCATTTGTACGTAGACAATAAATTAGTAAGACACTGATGATTCCTTTTATGCTCAGTACTGATATTTATGCAAACTAATTGAAAAAGTGTTATTATCTGCTTGTTAGATGAACGATGAGTGACTCATTTGCCGTGTAAAGACTTATGAACTCAGTTTCGTGAAAGTTTTCTCACTTATGAATCCAAAAATATGGCAAGGATATGGATCTCAGCAGAATAACAACAATTCATCTATTTTGTTCTTCAAGTGCTTACAAACTGAAAACGGTCGAACTCTTTTGGTCACAGCTTCTCACTAAAACTCCTAGAATCCTCTCTCGAAGTTATTCACTAGTGAGCATGTGACAAGATTCGAGAGGGGATTCTAAGAGTTCTAGTGAAAAGTGGTGACTAGTAGAGCTAATCTGTGTCGGTTGTGAGGCATTTATTTACCGAAGACAATAAAAAATGGTCCCACAACTTTGTAGATTGATTGCAGCTAGACTCTAAAATAAAAAATCTCCACAACCTCATACTGATAACCATATTTTCATTAATAAGATGATGATTTTATAGGGTTTAATACTGATAAACAATCCTAAAGTTCATAATTTTCCTTATGTTTTGTGCAATGTTCAACTTCGGTGACGTAAAAGTGTCATGCGTTCATGTACTTGCCATTTCAGTACATTGCTCATCTATTGTTATTAACTTCACTTGATGCTGTTTTACTTGTTTCTTTCCATTGTTATTTAGGATCGCGATTGATCAGTTTCTTGTTGGCATATGTGCTTCCTGTGCAGATTGCCTGGATGTAGCCCTAAGTCACAAGCTTTTTAAGCAAATATCGATAGTGGCTAGCAGTGGAATCCAGGACGCTTGTTTCGTCTTATTAGAGACTCCTCATCTGGATGCACCTGCATTCCAGAGTTGATATTCACTACGGAAATCGAACTTAGTACCGTTCGCTTCAAACGCCATCGCTATTTTGTAAAGGATAACTTTAAAAATATCAATGTAGAAACATTGTGTTTTCTAAATGAAGTCTCCAAATATTTATAATACCTTTCTCATTATAACAATATTTATCAATATTTTAGCTAATAATTATCAGCATATTATGTAACACTTATTCATTTTATTTTATATTTACTCACAATATATTTAGGACCAGAAGGATGGATGGCGTCAATTGAAACTGGGTCAAGTTGTTTCACTGAGTGTCTTGGTAGTATATTAGATCAAATGTGTCGTAAATCATCTTATTCAAATTCTGTTAAACTTATCAATTTAAATTATTCAAATGAAAATGTAGCAAAAAGTTTTACTCATCAAGTTGTATCAGTTTTGAAAGGAACAATTATACCTTATAGTCTAAGAAGATTTTTGTGGCCGCTAGCATTATTTACAGTCACCGAACGGACTAGATCAGAATTAGAAAATCCAATTATTTGGAATGGACATAAAATGAGGTAGAATTGATTACTTAAAATTTATTGTCATTCATAGTCTTTTCTGAGGGTGACTGTAAATGAATTAAGAACATCGTAATGCAAAATGTCTTGATGATCTACTTTAATTGAGCTAATTATTATTGAGTCACTTCATTTTTAGAAATTTTCTCAGTACAATACGATTATAATCTATTTAAATGGTTTGTTTGTAGTGCTAGTTGTATATGTTCTGAGGATAAACTCAAACTAATTTATTTTCTACTTAGTAAAAGTAATTTAGGCAGAAAATTGATAGCATCTTGAAAGCCAATGTTTCTGAAACTTCAGTTTAAATGTGATAACCGATGAAATTCTGTGGATACAGTCACATCATGGGTCCAACTTATTTAATCAATTGTAATTGTTAATCAAATCGCTAATATTTAATTAATGTTGATTTCATATTCATCTGTGAAACCCATTTAGTATTCCACAGATATGATGAGATTCTATTTGAAAATGAAGATTTCTTAATTCGGTTTCTTCTTATATCAACAGTAACATTAAATCAATTATCCGTCAGACGGTTAACTTTTTGACTCAAAATCGATTCAACTTAAAAGTTGATTTTCGTGAAAATTATTGAACTAAATAAATTGCATTCCAATGACTGACAGTAAGTTCTTTTGGCTATACTGTAGGAATCCTTATATTAATTGCAAATAAATCATCATTGGTTAGAAAGTTTCTCAATTTTGCCACAGGTTCGTTACATAAAGCCAGTGCGTTGCTTTTTGGTGAGAAATACCACAATTGACGATAGTCATTTCACATGCTTATAGCTGTTTTACTCCCTTTTTTGTTTGCAAATGCCCTGGAATCAAAATCCTGATCAGGAAATTTGACATGGTTTAGATGTATCATAAAAGAATCTCAAGATAAATTATATAGTTTACTAATTATGTATCAACTTATGCAGATTAACTAAGATTCCTAGAATGTCTCTGAACATAACTATTTTGTACATAATGAAAGTCAAAATGCTCAACCGTATGAATAGGAAGCGTGGAATTTAGAATCTAGATCTTTAGGCCTTAAACTATGGAACTGCTAACGTAAATATCACTGCTTGAACATGATGTTAACCTGAAATTTATCTTGGATCTACATAAAGATTCTTGTGAGAATTTCATAAATGGCTTTCATATTCTCGTCATATTTTACTTAAAACCAAGAGAATTAGAATCATCTGCTCGAAAAAATTTTGGCGTTTTGTTGGCATCTGGAACCGCAAAACTTGGATTGACCACACCAATGTGTTCAAAATTTGATGATATCATTAAGAAAAGTGTGAAAGAGGTAGGTAGTTAATTAAACGTTGTTATATATGTATAGATAATGATTATTATCAAAAATAATATATAAATGCCGTTACAAAAGTATTTTTCATACATGTAGGAAATTATTCCAACTACAGAGAGCATTGATAAATTGACGACCACATCATAAATTGGTCATGTTAACTATCGCTAGGTATTTCGACTATTGCATAGATACAGCATGATAGTTGCCATAAAAATAGGATATTCTAAGTAAGTTTAGGTAGTAAATAACTTTTCAGTGTGTTTTTTAATTCATTTATCAAATATTCAGCTTTTTATCAGTGTACACCCGGCAACTACTCTACAAATTTCAAGATATTCAATAAATTCATTCCAATGATTAGTTGATACTACAGATAAATGTAAGAATGTAATTTTTATCTGAAATCCTCCTTCATACACATACCCAATCTGTAATTACTCCAGGTACTCATCAATACATGTATGTGGTTATATAACCCGAGATATAAACTAACTCACAATGAATATGTTGTAATGAAGAAAAGAAACGTCATTTAAAGTCATACATAAATCTATAGTGAACAGTAAAATAATTTTGAGTTGAGTAGTTAGTAGTAAAATTATTATTTTAAATTACATCACAGTACAAAATGTCGAATTTTACATAAACATTTTCATTGATTTTGATAATTTTGCATCATCTATTCTAGAATGTTTGATGTTAATATCCTCGTTGTTATTCTAGATATTATCAATAGCGATTCCCAGTGGATAAGACTAATGAGAATTATTACCGGAATCCCTAAGAAGTCTATGACAATAACATTATTTGTGGATGATCTTTTTCAGATGCTTTATCATCCTATACATTAATCTCACTGACTATTTATTCGGGTTTGACGTCTGACCATGGAACGCTAACTTTTAGATTATAGGTTTGCAGACTGACAAATCGTATAGTTATACTGCTAACCTGTGGGGTTATGGATGCTTATGTGGTAGTGAACGCTTTTATACACTTCAGGATTACTTACAATTACTATGATTTACCTTGTGAACAACGATTAACTAATCCCATTTTGCTATAATAGAATTTTAGTTATGTGAGATAACTAAGAATATTCCGATCATCTGACAATAAATTCTATTAAGGGTTAACATCCATTGGGACATAAAGCAAAAAATCTGGTTCAGCGAATTCATTCTTAATGTTGTACGACCATAAATACATACTTTTTCCCATAATAATAACTGAGAATACGTTTGTAGATAATATCCATAATTCACTGAACATAACATCAGAAGAGAAAAATAGATAAATAACGAAATTGATATTTTGATCAAGAAAATAAAGATTTACTTGATAAGACACTTATTTTCATCCAGAATGCAATTGAATTTAGATAAAGATTAATCATTATAGAAATTGGCTAAGCTACATGATAAGACAGAGTAGTGAAATGGAAGTGGAATGTAGTTAGAAATGAAAGCACAAAGGAAATAAATTACGTTTCAAGTTCAGAAGTGCAGTGGAGAGAGGATGATAGCTTGAAAATTTATGGGTTAAGACAAGACTGGACTAGCTTCCTTAGTGTTTACCGTTCTGGTTCCCTCAAGTATTTTAACTTACAGATGATTTTGAACGGTGAACCTGTTTTTTTATCGATTGTGCCGCGTTCTTACGAATCCATTGACACCTCTTTGAGATCACTATGAAAAACATTTCCCTACCTGCTTGAAAAGAATAAGTACTGGCCGATCAATACACCAAGATATCAACAGGATCAGTCGAATTGCTCAGTGCGAATTAAAGTGACTAGATACATAAGTTTGTCCTTAAATTTATCATTGAACATCGATCGAGTGTAGAACAGAAACCTCAAAGTTGGTGAGAAAAAACGTATATTTTGTGAGGGTTAAAAATTCTCATCTTCAAGATATTTGCAAATTTTTTACCTATGAAACCAATTTGTACGCAAAGCATTTTCTTTTGGCATATAGATTATTAATTCTTTTGGAGATTTGAGCCTTAAAATCGTATCAACAAAACTTGATGGATATTTATTTTTGATAAGAGCACTTCTTACGTTTGGTTTTTCGTCTCTGATATAGGAATTGTAAATTCATCGGATCGGTATTTCTTGAGATATCATTAACTCCGTCCTCTTATTTATAGAGCTCTTAGGTGTAGAAGCGTGCTAACTAGTCAATCCATAAATGTTTCCCGTAAACAGATCTACCGTAATTTCGCTTCAAATGCTTCTTATTATGTTTATTTCAACTTCATAGTTTTATAACGGCGTTGTTGTATATGTTCGTTTTATCAAGAAATAGACATTTTAGATTACATTCTAAAACTAAATACTCATATCAATAAAATAGAAAATTAACATGTTTATTGTATGGAAGAAATGTAAGTACTAATTTTAATGACATTATCTTCTTAATCATCACGTAATTCTATGTTATACAATAAAAAAAATAAAGATAATCATTTAACCACTAGACAGTACGTTATTTGCGATCACTGGTTCACCAAAAGATCTTATGGATTAGACAATAGAAACTATAGATTACATCAGATTATCTATATCCTACATACTTTAATCTTTAAATAATATCATCTTCATCATTGCTTTAAATGACATATTATGAAAAGGAGTTTTGGAATGCTAACTTAACTTTATATTGTAAAATATTTGATCATTACTAATGGAAACAAAATACACCCATTAAGACAATAAATGAGATAGATCAGTTCAGTGAAGAGTTCTCTTCTCAGCGAATTCATTTTCAAAGCTGTACAATCGCAAGTACATTTACCTATTTTTACAGGATGATGATAACACTGATAATAAACTTCTGTTAGACATGATGACAGTTAAGTAAAATAAACAAAGGTATCAAAAAAGGTTTTTATTTAACCTCACTGTTACCATGTCTAGCAGAAGTTTATTATCAGTATTGTCATCATCCTGTAAAAATAGGTAAATATACTTGCTATTGTACAGCTTTAAAGATGAATTCACCAAAAAAAGAGAACTCTTCGATGAACTAATCTTTCTCATTACTAATGTCACATTACATACAATGATAATACCTCAGTTTATTTTTTCATTGAATGTAAAGTACTGTTGATAATGCAAAATAATGTGTATTTATTACATGAATAAAATAAGTAGAATAATACTGTAGAAAAATTTATTTTATTTTTCTAGATCAGTCTAGAACTTGAAGCAAAATTCAAAAATCAACAAAAACAATTTAAACAATTCAAAGAACAATCAGTGAAAATTTTAAATGTATTTTATACAGCTAAACAAATTTATGATCCACTTTATATTTATTGGCTTCTTCCTATACATTTTGCACTTAATAAAGACTATATTTATGAATTAATTAAACATTTTCCTGATATACCAACAAAAGTTTCTATTAATTCAGCTGATGAAGGTAATATCATTTATATTATTGAATACTTTATGTATTTTATAATGTTAAATTAATTGGTTACTAAAGCATAGTCTTATTCTTAGCATTAATTAGATTCTATCTATTGAGTTGGAATTTGATTACCATTCTAAATGATGATTATGCTTTATTTAGTTTGAAATTAAATGATCAGAATAATCTGCATCACTATTTGGAAATAGGTTTTAGATAGTTATTATTCATTAGAAAAGTGAGTCTATGACCACTGGAGAATTAATATCTCCTTGGGGATTCGTAACTACTTATCATATTAGAAAAAAAATAATGACGCCAGTAAATGAATTCATAGTGAATTCATTATATGGCATAGTTAAAACATCCCACAAGAAAATTGAGACATTAATTCGACCACATTATGTTAGACATTTCATTAAAGTCTAGTAATAAAATGTTCCATAACAAGTTTATTAGCTCCAGTTTAATTCAAAATGTAATTTGTGCCGAATTTAAGGTTTAAAGTGTTGGTTTATTGATCTTATATACAGTTTTAACCTTTGAATTAGTAATACAACAAAATAAAAGCTTTCAAACAGGAAAATATCTTTCTGGTGAAATATCCTTACAAGTTTTATGAGAATATAGTCAATATGGAAAAAGAAAGTGAGCTCAAACTTGTTAGCGTTTAGCTTCACAAAATTAGCAGACAATTTTAATAAATAGAAAGCAACTTGACAAGTAAGCAAAGTCTCACATATTGAAATCATGAGTTAATTAAAGCTAGACCACATTGGAAAACCTGAAAGCATTGGACGGCCGCTTTGTCCTGGTATGGGACTCCTCAGCAGTGTGCGTCCACGATTCGAACACAGGACCTATCAGTCTCGCGCCAAGCGCTTGACCAACTAGACCACTGAGCCGGCATCCAACGGTGTTAATGTCTAACTTCAACCAATCCAAGAAGTTGCGCCATCGTATACCATTTTCTTCAGTGAGCTGATATCTCACAACAGACCTGATTGAACTCCACGGGTAACGGCTTCTCACTAGAACTCCAGGTGTATCTCTTGAAATCAGTCACCAGTGAGCAAATGATTATTATCAGAAGGGGTTTGTGGAGATTTTAGAAATTTCACAGGTTGAAATGATGAGTAAAATTGGATGCGCACTGCTGAGGAGTCCCATACTAGAACGAAACGGCCGTCCAGTGCTTTCAGGTTTTCCAATGTGGTCTAGCTTCAATTAACTCATGATTTCAATCTGTGAAATTTCTAAAATCTCCACAAACCCCTTCTGAGTGTAAACAGAATGTCAGATGAAACTCACAAAACCAATGGAATGTTTCATAACTATCCTTAAAACAAACTACTTTAAACTAAGAAATAGCTAAAGCAGTATATTAAAAGTATTATTTTACAATTTAGTCCTACAATAAAGTTTCGTGACTCAGTATACGTGGATAACTACCCTTGTCTCTAAAGTGATATGGGAATCGTCAAGAATATTGTGGTTTGATTGGATAACCGATGAAGATCTCTTTTAGAATAATATTTACGGATTTAGATTTACTAATTCGCTCACGCATGATCCTGATTTTGATACAGTGTTCTTTATATTAGTTCCCATTTTTAATAATATTACCCACAAACAACTACAATAAATGTCTCTTATTGGCATATATGCATCCTTAAGTTACAAACGTTAAAAGCAGAGATGGATGATGGCTAGCATTCATCTATACTTATAATACTTTAAATGTATTTTATTTGCTTCTTGAAATAAATAAATAAATGAATAAAAACAAAACATGATCTTTTGTCATGTTAATCAAACAAGGTTTCACTACTTAAGTATAATGACATTATCGAATTTCAAATGATAAACTATCTAAATTATCCAACTGTATTTATTATTTAACATTATATGACAATCAAACTAGTGACGTGATAAAAATTTGATTACTTTACACCTCAATATTAGTTATACATATAGGCAAGGTTTATCTAATATCAAGAAAGTATAAACTGCTCAATAATTTAAGAATATCACATTCTTATGTAATAGCACATCAAACAATCAAAAGTATACAAAACAAACTATAGTTGAAATCATGAATCAATCAAAGCTAGACCACCATCCAAAAGTGGATGGGCTGAAGTTAGACATTAACAACGTTGGATGCCGGCTCATTGGTCTAATGATTAAGCGCTCGCGCTCGAGACTGATAGGCCCTGGGTTTGAATCTCGAGGGGGGGCGGGATCGTGGATGCACACTGCTGAGGAATCCCATACTAGAACGAAACGGCCGTTCAGTGCTTCCAGGTTTTCCAATGTGGTCTAGCTTCAATTGACTCATGATTTCAACTACTGAAATTACTAAAATCTCCACAAAACCCGTTCTGGTAATAAACTATCTGATAAATTTTTTTTAATTCTAGGTATTCAAATCTATTCGTTTGCTTTATGTTTAAGTATATTTGTTGATATAATGAGTAAAAAGTATGGATTATATCATAATAATGTTAATAATATAATTGAAAAAACAATGAACAATATCAATCAACTACAATGTATTCAGCATATTAAAAATGTTCATAAAGAATTTATTCTCCGAAATTCTAATAATAATAATAATAATAATTCTATTAAGAAATTGGATTTCGAAGTAAGTTTTAAATAAGATACAATTAGCTGTTGAACTTTAATCGTTCATGGAGAAATTTAAATTTTCCATTTCTACCTGGAGTTTGTATTGATGATGTCGTTCAGAAGAACGATGAATACTCCACAACTGAACCATCTAGCTCAGAGAATAAAACTCCATCAAAATCATTCACCTGAGCTATAAATCTTTCCCACCATTGATATGTTTATTTGATTTAAGTGATAAACAAAAAGAGTAGGGTACTATGATTGTATTGTACTTTGTTATTTTCTTTACTCACCTACATAAAAGCTTATGGGTTTACTTTAAGGGTTAGTTTGAAGGTAAGGAGTTGTGCGTATTCAGCTCTGAAAGAATTGAGGTTAAAGCTATTCAGGGTATAATAAAATAGCATTGAAAGTGCCAACAATTTTTTATATCGGTGTATCTTTTCGTGCTAGAATTTAATCTATAACAATGCTAATGACTTAAGTAAGTATCGCTTAACAGTATGACAAGTAAATCAATTTCTAAATGAGCTAGATATCAGCTGTATACCGGAATAATTATAAAATTCTTCATCTATATTTTTGACCATATATATATATATATATATATATATATATATATATATATATATATATATATATATATATATATATATATATATATCATAGCATCCGTGTTGAGCAAAAGATTCTTGTCATAAAGTAAAGCCTACCATGAACTTCAAAACTCTTTAAATATGAATAATGAATACTTAAGTACAAGTGATCCAATCTGAATATAAAACATTTACTGACAAAATTTAAGTTTGAAAATGTTAACAAAGTGTACAATCTGAGAACAGTACAAATATCGAGATAATATCCGATTAACGTTTGAATTCAACACTTATCATAAACATCAGATATAATGTCCCATATAATATAGGATTCATAGTTCAACTAACCACTGTGTAGCAACCTTTTAGTGATGCCAAATTCTTGTAATAAAAATGTCAAATAAACATATTTTAGTTTGATTACTTTCTACTCAACCTAATACACTACATTCTAATCATTCTTCTGAAACCATTTGCTAATCATAAGCTTTTAGAATTAAAAACTTGATGAATTATGATTTCGAAGTAATGTACTTTACTTTCGGGAATTTATTCGAAGTAGTTCTGCATATCTGTTGTTTCCACTGTGAGTTTCAACCACTAACCATCTGTTGCATAAAATATTAAACCTCGATGGTTGTGCTTCAAATGTATTAATTGTCAACTCCTTCGCCATGTTCTATTTAAGGTGGGGGATAAGTCATACGTTGGAATTAGAATATTAGTCTATGTATATTTTCAAATAGAACATAATTTGACCGTTATTTTGTGATTCATCTACTCAACATAGAACTAACACTCAAGGTTATGCGCAGTTAAATTCTTCGTTAAACTATGACGAATGAAGTTTTTACTCAATAATTTCAATAGCTAGAATAAGTCATGATATAAACATGAGAATGTCATTAAAGGATATGATCTTATAGTTGAGATTGTTTGAACTTATTTTTTGAAAAGACACTTACCATTTTTACTTTATGCTTTATTAATTCGACGGATTAATTGGAATAAATCTTGGAGGTATTTCAAAGTCAAATGATGAATGTGAATGATTTCAATACTGATCAAAGATTAAATACATTAATTGAAAATGAAAACTCATACCTTTACAGGCTCTTAAAACAGTGGTTCGATAAAGTAAGTGATTGTGTTGAGTTTTTATGTTTGAATTTTTTAAGAGTAAGATAAAGATTTAGTTTACGTGCCATTTTTATCTTGTAAGTTCTTTAATAACAAGATGGAAGCAAAGTCTTTTCCGCTCATTTACAAAGTCCCATATACGCTTAGAAACCCTAATAAGAAACTTTATGGTAGATAAATTACAACTTTCTTTTTTATTCAAATAAAATGTCTTGTCAAAATGTTATGACAGTAACGCTGCTATCAACTTCTCATGATGTGATACTTGTAATTACAATTGATTTAAGCTGGAAATATGTATTACGATAGGCTAACCCAGTAGTTTAATGGTTAAGCACTTCTGGGTTCTGTGTTCAATCACTGGTGTAGTCATAAGTCTTCATTACTGATGAGTCATATACTGGAATAAAGCAGCTACACAGTGCTTCCCGGTTTCTTATCTAAATCTAGCTGAGGTCAGTCAGTATCAGATACTAACCAGAATTTATAAAATTTGTAGACCAATAGCGTAAATGAAGGGGTAATATGCTAATACCCGAGATAATCAGTACTAAATTGATATATCATAGGAACAGAACTAGAAATAATTTAATTGATAATGTTTTAGAATTACATTAAAATACTTATTCATATTCATAATAAATACCTAAATATTTTCAATAGTTCCTGTGTGAATGATGCTTACAACATTAATAAGAGACTTTATGTTTAATAGTCTAATATTCAAAAGAGGTACTATTATCTTAATTATAATTAAGGAATTCTCATAAAGCAATTAATCCATTAAATGAATTTTGAAAGTATAATCAGAAGACTGATTTGATCTTTATAAAAAGACTGATATGTCACAGTACATTTCAAACAATCTAATAATAAATAAGCTTGTCAAAACATTTTCACATATAACTATGGAAGATTAATTGAGTACAGGGTTTAATAACAACGAATGATAACTGAAAATATAATCTGAAGTAATATGTTAAAAAACATACACACACATACAAGAAGTCACACAACTCTTAACATTGAAATAAATTCAAACTGAGAACAGGGTGATACATAAATTATCTAACGACTATGGCAACCATTAATTTAAAAATGTGATTTCGGACAATTCTACAAAGAATTTCATTTCTATGATATAGTCTTATATAAATATTGTAATTTGTAAATGTATGAAAGCTAAGGAAAGATTTAAGATATATTTTATTCAAAAGAAAAAAACAAACTGTTATATAATATTTTTCAAATCAATTGATGACCAACACTGTTATACTAATCAGATAAACAAATTCCTATCATTAAAATGGTCTGAAGAAAAAAAGAACCTGAGGATAATTCCATAAATATTACTGAAAAGTTTTATTTATTTTAAAATAGAGAAAATGTTTTTAGCTTACAAAACAAGTGAGCTTACACAAATGGTCTCCTGACAAGGAATGCTTACTTGCTCACTTACTTACACCTGTTACTCCCAATGAAGCATGGGCCACCGGTCAGCACTCTTCAACTCACACTTTCATGTGCCTTTCTTTCTAGTTCCATCCAATCGTTGTTCATTTTTCTCATGTCTATCTCCATTTCTCGACGTAATGTGTTCTTTGCTCTTCCTCTTCTCTTTTGGCATTGAGCATTCCAAGTGACGGCTTGCCTTTTGACATAGTTAGGTTTTTCCTCAATGTGTGTCCTATCCACTTCCAGCAATTCTTCGTGATTTCTTGTTCCACTGGGATCTGGTCTGTTCTCTCCCATAGTAAGTCGTTGTTTATAATGTCTGGCCAACGGATCCGAATTATTTTGAGTAGACAGCTGTTAATAAACACATGTGTGTTCTAGATGATGGCTTTCGTAGTTCTCCAAGTTTCCGCCATATACAGTGAAACTGTCTTGACATTTGTATTGAAAATTCTAAAGTTGGTATTGGTTGACAATTTTTTTGAGTTCCAGATGTCCTTCAACTGTAGATATGCTGCTCTTGCTTTGCTGATTCGCGCCTTCACATCTTCATCAGATCCACCATGTTCATCAGTGATGCTGCCCACATATGTAAAGGATTTTACATCTTCCAAATCTTCTACATCAAATGTGATTTTATTGGTGCATTCTGTGTTGTATATCGAAGAATATTCCTCTGCCTGGAGCCCCCTTGTGGCAACTGCCGGTCTCAAGCCCGGATAAAGGAGGATATTTAGTGACTCCATCCGATAGAAAACTAACTCGCTAAAAAACCCTAACCACAAAATAATAATAAGGAATCCGAATAATATAAATGAATTATCTAAACGAAATCTAATTTAACATCAAATTATTATTTATGTACTTTAGTATTTGGTATTATTGTAGTGAGCAAAACACAAGTGGAGATAATCTAATGTATTCAACACACAATTACAGGACTTGTTAATCAAACCTAACAATCATAAAGTAAATGCTTAATTTGCAAAATGTCCACCAATTGTCTCAAAATAACTCAGACTTCATTGTTCTTGCATTTTCATACAAATTGCATCCTGTCTCCATTCTTTACTGTTCGATCCTCTTGTCTCTCTGCTACCAGACCTTCTGTTCATGACTAATAGCATATACTACTTATGTCAATATAAGTAGCACACACCACATTATGAGTAGTTGATATCTTACAATTTGTATTATTCACTTTAAAAACTTCCCAATAATTTGAGTTTTCTTTTATGTTTCTTTATTATTATTCAGCTATTTGTTGGCACTGTAAACAGTATAGCTTTATTATTTTTTTGGGATCAATTATTTTTAAATTCATTCAATTGTGATGTGATTATTGAATTCGCTGAAACAATCCTTGTGTTATTAGGCTCAGATATTTTACAAGTTAATAATTTTACTGACATGGAACAAGTAAGTTTAAATGTAAATATTAATTTTATTAAATTAAACATTTTCACTTCAGAAGATGACAATATAGTTTTAATGAGAAGGTCAATTGTATAACTGTTAGGTCCCGATAAACATAATGAATAGTAACTTTTGGGATCCTTTAATGGACCAATACTAAACGCATATTTTTATGGCATAATTGTTAAGTAACTAAGCTATTCATATTCCACTTATTATAAACTTTATTCTGACCTATGAGCCATTATTATAAGTTTTACCATTCTTGAATTATGCCCTGTTTATTAGTCACCGTCTCACACATTCACAGTCACATTTAGCCAAATTTTGTACAAATGTTATTTTCTATTTTATGCTACATTGTGGTCTGTTTGATTGGTATATAAACTCAGTATGTTTGAAATATAAGGATTCATATTGCAGAGGCTGAGACTGGTGTTTTGAACTTAACTGGCTGGGCTAGGCGGAAAGCAGAACTAGTCAGGACTCTAGGCTGCTCGTACGTGTTTTACGCGTCCTTGGTCCGATCGACAATTTGCTGCTTCTGATTGGCGGCTTTGGGCTATAACAATAACATACTATAGAGCAATACTAGTGTGATGAAATCGTTTTATTAATTCTCACGCTGCCTTTGAGGTATCTTAATTCTTTATCTACTCAGGATGAAGTTGAGGTCGTGTCATTCTTTTCATTTTCATATAAATGAAAGTTGCTATAATATTTTGATTTTAAAGATCTATTTATATTCCAGTTATTATTGATTAAAATATAACGAACTGATCGAAACAGTTTCATCAAAGACAAGCATTTTGGATTTCAAATCAATCGAATTCTGTTATAACAAATCAATTTAAAGACGATTTGTAGTATGAAAATGTATTATTGTCATTTTGAAAATCGTCTTCAGTAAGATCTTGAAGTAAATAAGGATTTGAAAATTTCATAAGAAATCTCCATCAAATTACATTGTAACAGATTAAATATAGGGGACAGATTATGCGGAAGAGATTATTTATTTCCATTGATTAGTTCTGTTGAAATATATATTTAAATCCATTCATTTTTTAGACAAAATTAATGTTGCTATCAAAGCAGTTTTGAATAGAGATCTATACAGATTGTTTTATAACTGAATGCATTAAACTTGTGACCAGTCATTCATTTTAGTATAGAACTGATACTTCGATGGTCAATCAAACTCTTATGTAGAACGAATCTTTCAGTGATATACATATATATAATGAGTTACTAAAGAGATATACAAAATGTCATTCAATAAGCTACTAACAATATGATTTAAAGTACCTCCTTCAACTCTAAACGTTTTTAGAACAAATTCGTCTCCGGTTGTCGATGTAGTTTACCAAGGTTATAATGATAATTCACCAGGTTTTAAATGTTATGAATAGACATCGAACCATATATTAAGGCTACTATCTTGTCAAAGTAACATTATTAAAAGGATTAACTAGTTTATGACTAAAGATGGAATACTTTAACAATTGATGTGTCATCGTCAACTAATATCAGATTAATGATACCACTGCATAATTGTATCATATAAGTAATTATTTGATGTATGTCCATTACACTATTACTAAGTGGAAAATTGAAAAAAAACTCTTCTATCACATCTCAACCACGTTCTGAAAGTACTGGTTAGTAAATGAGTTTTAATGAGAGATTTTATAAATAAACTGTACGTTAGAAGATAAATAAAGTTTTTATAACCTCGAATAATCTAAAATCAGTAGAAATAATATGTTGTTCATTTGTGTTGGTTGCTTGAATCTTTCTGTTGATGTTATGGACTGCAATCGATCAGTCTCTTTTGATTTATGTGAGGATCGCCTTGATATTGACATTGGAATTACATGATTGCTGAATTCCATAACTAAACACCATCCAATTATGCTAATATGATGTTTTATTAGCAATAAAGTAAAAGGTATTTATGTTTGAGTAGTGCTATTCTGTGTTCTTCTCACCTATTACTATTTCGCTTATCAGTGATTTACGTACCAAATGGAAGTTTATCTTAAGGTTTACCAGAACTACTAATGTAAATTCGTGTTTAATTGAGTGTGTTGCTTGACAAAATATATGCACTTTTATTCTACTCTGCATAATAATCCATCTTCATAAGCTAGTTAAGATCAAAAACTATATTACCTGAAAATAATTTGGTTATGTTTATCTTTAAACTTTAGCTATTAAACCATGGACCGAATAAACTTCTAACGAAGGACATAATTCAAACATGGAATATGATTCATTTACATAAAGTTTTAGATGATGATTACTATAAATTAAACAGACTTTCTGGGAAATTAGTGTAAGTTATATGCTATGATGATATCTTTTAATTTATTTACACGAATTAGATTTCCGTCAGTATACTTATTTCTGCTTGATTCTAAAAAAAGGAATTCAGACTGATGCGTAAATTCCGTAAAAATCTTTTCAACACTAGAGAGCACTTGGCAACTATTTTGTTATGAATACAGAGTCTCCGTCAGAGAACCCTTAAAATTAAACATGGGATCTCATCAAAGAACTTCAGGGTTCGGCATCAGTGTATAGCAGTTTGACAACACCTAATAAATTAACTAATACAGTTAATATTTTGAAAGGATATCAGAAAAAAACCCCACTAAATAAAGTTTATTGTATGGTCATAAGTTTAGACAGTGATATGGTATAATGGTTGAAGTATATCGTTTTCAATCACTTGATTACTAGTCTGAATGTTATTGGGTCAAATATTATGATATATCTGTACATGAAATGTAAATCAAACCTAGCTTCGTGAATGCATATTTGATTAAATGTTATAACTATAACATTATATTCCTATTTCAAAAGTAAATATTTAGGAAAGAGTACTTCTGAATATAAGTACAATGTATTACCAAACTTCATTTTCAGCTACGTTATGAACTACATAAAATTTGCATATGTTATCAGAGTACTTTATACTAAGTAAAATTTCGAGGTAATGTTTAGTACATTAGCACATATCAGTAGATGCAATGCATTATGTGAAATTTTATATGGCTAGTTTTCCAAAGATTCATATGTATTCTATTAAACAGAATAAGTTGAAAGTGAAGAAACATAGGTTTCAATTTGATTCAACATGGAATTCCAAAAAACTCTACTTAAATGCAGATCAGTCGTCAATCGCATAATAATGCACAAAATTCAATTTTAAAACTGCGTTTTAAATTTCTAGTAGTGTATTGTAGTTTACAGAAACTATGTCAACGGTGTATAATTAACCTGAGTTCTAAGTCCTAGAGATTTGTTGACAAACTAACAGTGTTTTCAGTAACAAATCTCGAATGTCACTATTTATTTGAAATCATAAACTAATAAGTGTCAGACCATCTATGAGCATTGGACAGGTATTTTATCCTAACTTGGGAATCCTCAGCAGTGCTCACCCACGATCCAACACTTGAGAATCGAACCTAGGACCTTCAGTCTCGCACGCAAACACATAACCTCTAGATCACTGAGCTGATATCCAACGGTGTTAATGTCTAACTTCTGCGGCATAATCTGTGACATTGTTTTCGGTGGATAATTGCTTCATACCGGATATGGGCTAGCTTCACTGATCACGGTCTTTCGAAACGAAACAAAACGACATTCCAGTGCTTCCAAGTTTTCAATGTTGGTCTAGTTCAAATCATTTCATGGTTGCAATGAAATTCTTCGATCTCCACAACACCTTACTGACGGTCATTATTTCCGTTATCTTATCCTACTGATTGCTTTTTTATTTCACAGATTTAATGGAAGTTATTTTTCTGATCCCATTTATTGTGTGCAATATTCTTTAGTCACCATAATTGGTAGGTTGCTGGTTATATGATAGGTATTGTTTTGTCTTATTGTTCGACAATATGACATAAGTTTCTTCAGTTTCTCAGATGCTTACATGAGTTCTGTAAAAAAATCTTCCATGTATATTCTATTTAAATTCTCTGTTCAAGCTATTTAAAAAAACTGTCATATATTCTTGATTTAGCTTGAGATATGTTTCTAATTTTATAAATAATAATGTTTAGAATAAATGGACAGTTTCAGTAATTTGCTTTGACTAACCTTCCTATAAGTTCGAGACTTTGATGTTAACACCAAAGTAGGATTAGATCACTATGATCATATGAAGAATAACAATGTTTTATTATTGGAAGCTTTATTACATTATTCAGTCCATTATCACTTTTCATAAGACTTTAGGAAAACTAAGAATTTAATTAATATTACCAACGACTTTTGTCAATCACATTGCAAAAATCAACAGTTTAACTAATTGCGTTAGCGTTACTCCTTTTGTAGTATGTTGAATAGTGTTAGTCAGTTGGCCATAAGAAAAGTAAAACCTGATACAAATATGTATCAAACAAAGCTACCGCACGAAATCAACATAGAAAGATATGATTATCAAGAGGAATATAAAAGTAGTAGAAGCAGTGATAGTATCCATGGTAGTCAAAACGTTTCGACATACAAAATACGATTTAAATAAATTAATTTTTGGGATAAAAAGTATAAAATAATTTTGAAAATCAGAACCTACAGGTATAACATAGCCAATTAATCTTCATCATTGTGATCGATTTCGAGCCGTGTCATCCAGTATCTCCAACCACTTATCACAGTCATCATATGGATGCCAATCAAGTGATCTACATCTATCAACCTGATTCCGTTCAGCAGTCAGTGATTTCATGGAGTGATGTTGCATCTTCTTTTGGTTTGTCCCGTTCTACTGGAGCAATACTCTGAGAACACCTAAGATCAAACACCTAAAGCTCATGCATCCATTCTACTGTTGAAGATAATGTTTCATAAGCACAAATTAATATAGAGTATAGTGCTGTGCAACATACACGCACATTAATTAGCAGACAAGACTCTCCCCAAAGCTACATATTTGGAAGGTACTTGATTCGAAGTAGAAAAGTGTGCTGTACAGTTCGGCTAGAAATTTATGAGTTGATAAAAGATAACGAAGCTTTCGAAAAATCTGCAAAGATTTTGATAAACAACAGCCCACTAGGGATGATGAGGCTTCCGAGATATGTGAAGTGATCAATTCGCTGAACTACTTCAATACGAACCACTAATTCAGGCGTTGACGAAAACTAGTCTTCAAAAAACATTATACCTGGAGGGAAGTAGACGTATAACAAGGATGTTTGGACTATTGCTCAATGCGATCAGAAGATTCTGCATCTGAAGACTTTGTCTTCATCAAAAAGGACTATGTCATTTGAGTATTCTAAGACAGCAGGTGAATCTCCTGGTAAGATATTAACTCTTGAAAGTTGAAGAGTGATTCCTAGGAGCTCATTTATTACGAAGTTAATTAGAGATGGGGATAGTTATCATTACTGACGAGCACCACATACGGTTGACAATTCTGATGATAAATAATCATGAGTTCTGATTTGACAAGTAGCGTTCAAGTGGAAAGTCTTCATAAAGTTTTTGTATTTTGATACATTTTATACTACAAACATTATCACCGAATCTCTCGGTCTACAAAGTCGAATGTCATCTTTAAGTCAAGAAATACAATAACAGTCAAATGCTTTTAAGTGTACTTATGTTCTAGAACTTGATAGAAAGTGAGCATTTGATCGGTGCATTCATAACTAGATCTGAAATAAGCATGAGTTTCCTAAGCTTGTTGTTAACAAATCTTAGTTATGTATTGGTTGATTAATAAGATTAATATTTTAGACATTATATTAGTTAAATTGATTTTTATTTCAATATTACAAAAGGACTTTTATCCTTTCTTATAAACTGGAACAATTATCCATTAAACATTCAAAATTCATTGGAATTAAAAATCTTCCAAGACTTTCAGATACATTACACTTTGTCAATAACAATGGAAACAACTTACTATCAGAACCTTTTAATCAGTTCAAAATAAACATAATGCTTTTTTTATTTTATCTAAATCTGATTCTGATTTAACTTTAAATCTGAATTTCACTAAATCAATTATCAATTATTCTTTATTTAACTAGACTAATTAATCTTTGGCAAGACAAACAATCTACATTTATCACATAATGAATAAGCAAACCTTCATTATTTAATCAGTGTCCATATTCATTGTACTAGAAAATATGAAAGCAAAAAAATAATCAGGATACTAACAAATTTACTTGCATGTAAATTAGCATGATATATATATATATATATATATATATATATATATATATATATATGATGTACCTTAGTACGCATAAATTATAATAGTATTCATATTTTACACATTAAGTTGGGTAACCATAATAGAAGATAAGTTCTGAACGATAATTTGTGCTGTTATGTAAACATAAATTAAAAAAAGCACTATTCGGTATAAATATACACATACCATCAAAATGTTTATCTATCTATCAAATTAATCTGTGTTTATGTTACCAATGAGAATGAGAACACATCTAAGTATCATAGAATGAAAATTAATTACAAATTATCTAATATAAATAATACATAGATATGTAGATGATAATACACTAACGTAATTTTTTTTATCTATTCATTATACATCATGTAAAATTTGCATTTTTACTTAAACAACTAAAAATTGTGATTATAGTTACTAAATTTCTAAAAGATTTTAGAAATAGGTTAAATTGATATGTTCACCTACAGTGTACTTAAAAGTTTATTACTAATTTAGTATGCAACTGAAATACAATATGAATTTGATTAAGATTTAAGTTTTTATCAGAAGGGGTTTTGTGGAGATTTTAAGTAATTTCAATAGTTGAAATCATGAGTCAATTGTAGCTAGACCACATTGAAAAACCTGAAAGCACTGGATGGCCGTTTCGTTCTAGTATGGGACTCCTCAGCAGTGTGCATCCACGATCCCGCCCCCCTCGAGATTCGAACCCAGGACCTATCAGTCTCGAGCGCGAGAGCTTAATCATTAAACCAATGAGACGGCATCCAACGGTATCAGTGTTTAACTTCAACCAATCCACGAAATCGCGCCACCGTACACCATTGTCTTCAGTGAGTTACTATCTCACAACAGACTCGGTTGAACTCCACTGGTCACGGCTTCTCACTAGAACTACAGGAAACGCTTCTTGAAGTCAGTCACTTATGAGTAGATGATTATTATCAGAAGGGGTTTTGTGGAGATTTTACTAATTTCAATAGTTGAAATCATGAGTCAATTGAAGCTAGACCACCATGGAAAACCTGGAAGTTTTTGTTTTATTATTGAATATAAAGATAGTTATATGCCTATAAATTAGATGAAAATCCAAAGAATAAATGTTTAGATTGTATGTAGATGGAAATTGGAATTATCCCAAACACGAATAATATAGTCTCTTAACTAAGCTTCTGAATACAGTAATCAACCAAAGTTTATACTCAATCCACTTCGATTAATGTTCTTTTTAATTACTATGTACATTCATTAGGTTATTGTAATTCTGATGGATAACATAAGTAACTGGATGGTATACGAAATTGCTTGATAAAATCTTGAAAAGTTAAGGAAATAAAAGCTATAATCTAAGTATACAGTCAGATTAGAAATGAAAAAGGTTATTATACTATTTCACAAATTTTCTGGAATTAAAATCATAGACGATTGAATATCGACTTATAAGATGTACTGTAACTGAATATCTTTAATTCAACGCACTGTGAAATCATCAATATTCACTGTTGTAAAGTTAGTAATCAAGATGAAGTTGATGTGATTTGCTCTCTAGTTTTTAATATTGATCTACATGATTCCAGTTACTGATGAAATTATATTAAAATTAGAAAAAAATCAAACATTTTAATGCTTCCAATAAGTATTTGGTTTCACATGTATTCACAAAGCAATCAGTGTGTAACTGAAATGTTATCAAGAATTTTGTTTAGTATATCCCATGATTCTATGTATATTATTATTATTGGCTTTATTCAGTATTATATTTTTAGTACAATATAGAACTCTCAACACAAAGTATTCCAACAAGTTACCTTTTATCATATCATGATCAATCGTTGTGACAAATATTGAATGGTCACCAGTTAGATGTTAGCAGTTCAGGAATCGATATCTGAATAATGTATATTCTTTTCGATGCTTATTTTCAGCCATCACGATGTCTCCGACTGTACATTTTTTGCAATAAAAAGTTATCTGTTTTCTGGTTTGTTTTAACACATCATTATACCTATTACTCCCACAACCTATTCAGGTGCGTTTGTGAAAATTTTACGACATTTCGCTGTACAAGTTACAAAAATGTACAGTCGGAGACATCGTGATGGCTGGCAATAAGCATGAAAAAGAATATACATTATTCAGATGTCGATTCCTGAACTGCTATATTCATCGCAACGATTGATCAAGAAATAAGAAAATGAAAACTTGTTGAAATACTTTGTGTTGAGAATTCTGTATTTTACCAAAAATATAATACTGAATAAAGCCAATAATTATCAAATTTAAAAAAATCTTATCGGAGAGACTATAATTTATGGCCGAACCAATCAGGTATAAGATAACAAGTCTTAGATTTTGGTGCGAAATTCACGCATCCATTTGGATAAATATCGTTTTGGCATTATAGCTTATGTCAGTTCGTGATGAAAACCTTAAATTTAATTCCTAACACTAACCATCAATTGTGAATCATAATTCTAATTCCTCACACTTTTTATAACCCTCATTTGGTCTTAGTTGTTAGGTGGACACTCTCAAAGGTCGTCCATAAATTATAGTCTCACTTCGTTATCAAATGTTTTGAGAAGCATAGTGATTTGATTTTTGAAGGCATCTGAAATCATTGTTGGAATCTGTCAAAGTATCAAATGAAAATTTTTTAAATACTTTAATACTTAATTATAGATCATTAACAAGGGAAATACAAGAAACATCGAAGAAAGATGTCAATTTTTATTTACAAGACTTTGTTATACATAATATAATTGTAACAACAGTAACAGATTCAAGAAAAGTAAGTTCTTCTGTAACAGTTTGTGTATCACTGTAAAAGTATAGAATACTAGACGGTCTCACTTCATTATTATAGATCCAGAGTGTCAATGATAAAACATATTTGAATTCTTCATTTTTTTAATCATAAAACAAACAATTTATTTATATCTTCAGGTAACATAACACATTCTCATGGGTGCACTTATCAGTGTATTCTCCAACTGAATAGATTAGTAACTTAATTTAACTAGAAACACATAATATATTGAATCAGATGTAAGATAATTAATAACAACCATAATAGTTATTTAGTTTGATTTGTGTTCTGTCGATAAAGATAACTATAAGTCAGTTGATGATATTCGTAGGTAAAGAAACAATGATAAGATACAATATAGGCAGATTATGCTCTGTTTAGTGATCCTATGTATATAGTCTATTGACTGAAGCTTATTCTTTTTTCCCCTAGATTTTACCCCCTGATTTATTTCGTATAAAACTGGACTATATTGTTGAAGAGGAAATAAAACAAAGTACTTTGACTGAAACTATACCGACAATGATATTTCATGGGAAAATATCACAAATATATGATTTCTTAGATCAGATTTATTCTACTGATGAAGATTACAGTAAAAATAAGCCTAATTCAATTACAAATTATTCATATCCATCATTTATACAAGAACAATCTAAAATGTATATTACCATGTTTCAATTTAACATGGAACAATCTTACTCTTTTGTGGTAAATTTCAATTTTATTGGTAAAAAAAGGATTCAGTCTTTTAATAGTTTGTTTATAAACAATCAATTTTTATTATTACAAATGGATAGAAGTAAACAAAAGGCTGAAATTAATCAGTACTCTTGAAATATAAATTAATAGATGATAGGATGTTTTAAATTTTCAGTACTATGCAAGATCCTCAAATACAACACGGAGAACATCAACACAATCACACTTGATGGAGAAATTCTGGAAGGGGTGGAAAGTTTCACGTATCTGGTTAGCATCATCGATGAACAAGGAGGCACTGATTCAGACGTAAAGGCAAGGATTGGCGAATCAGGGGCCTCATTCCTACACTTGAACAATATGGGGAACTCAAAACAAATATCAACCAATATCAAAGTGAAAACCTTCAATACCAGCGTCAAGATAGTTCTACTATACGGAGCTAAAACTTCGGGAACTACTATAACCACTATCAATAAGGTACAAATATTTATAACCAATTGTCTACGTAAGATACTGAATGTCTGTTGATGACCGGATACCATGAGCAACAGCCTACTGTGGAAGAGAACAAACCAACTTCAAGCAGAGGCGGAAATTAGGAAAAGGCGTTGGAAGTGGATAGAACACATATTGAGGAAATCATCAAACTGCATCATGAAACACTCACTGAATTGGAATCCTGAGGCGATACAAAAATGAAGAATCCCAAATAACATATTGCGTTGGGAATTGCAAGCAGAAATAAAATGGATGAATGGCCACTAGAAACAACTGGAACGGATTTTCCAGGACAAATTTAGATGGGATATGCTGATGAGCGGCCTATTCTCCTCCATGAGGGGTAACAGGCGTAAGTAAGTAATGTTAAGTGATTTGCCGAAAAAGCAAACAAATTCGTTAAATTTCATATAATCCATTATTACTAATCATTGTATTTGCATTGTTTAATGATTTCTTGATTGACCAAAGAATTACAAAAGCTGTATAGTGATAACTACACTATCACACGAATCCATTAAAAGGTGTCTGATCTATCAGTTTCAAGTACTTATTCACTGGCATACAGAATACTAATTTTTTAAAAACTTTTATTTATGGTCATATTGTTACACGAATATACAGTTACAGTAACAATAACATATGTGGTTGAACATTCAATTATAAAGCTTGAATAGTTTACGAGCCCTCAGTCATCTAAAATACAATTTCTGATATATTTCCATACGTAGTCTGAAGTTTTTTCTCCTAAATCACTAAGATTACTAATAAAGTACAGTCATACTTCACAAACTTTTGATTATCACACTGATTTTATTATCAACTTCTTGATACTATTAAATAAGATTCTATCAGATTATGTGAAATCATACAAATACCAGAATATAAACAACTTACTATAATATTCGAAATTTTAAAATTTGCTCGATTTTCATTTTGTTTTGGGAGTGTTAGCCAACTGAATCAATACGACTTTATGTAATTCATCTGAAGTATTCCACAAAATGCTCAAAGTTCCAAAGTCGTTTTCGTGATTGTCAGTCTTATTTTATTTCAAATTCTTTACAATATGATGTGAATAGAGAGACAAAGAAGCCATGATAAACATTGGAAATGTGTAAAATACTGACATTTAGTTTTATCCCTACTTTATTCTAGAAAACATATGCCTTCGTTTGATGTATGATTCACTGTCATACCCTTTTCTGTTCCAAAGCTATTGTAGTTTAAATATAACGTTTTGTGCTCTTTTTCCGCCATAATGCCTGGTTCGGAAATAGTTGTATTTTTCTAGTTGTTTGGGCGTTGTGGTCATGTTAGTCATCTATTTATTCATTTTACGCTAATCTGAAATCGGGAATTAGGAATAAACCGGGCAGTGTTCCAGTTGACTTGTCTTCTCTCTATCCCACTTATCAAGCGATCACGTGATAGAATAGTTTTAGTTTCTTTATCCAAGGTCGTTAGTCTTAATTCGGACTCACGCATTTCTAGCCTCAAGGTAAAACCACTTAGCCTATCGTGTCAAGGCCTTAACCTAGATCGAGACGAGTTCTCTCCTTTATATTATTCGGTAGACAAATCAAGGACGTAACAATATACCATATCCATCTACTGCGTCAAATATATCCAATGAATACTCTTGAATTTCCATGATTAAAACCTACATTCATAAACTTCACTACTCAGTCACTAAAAAGTAATCATGGTCACTCTAAGCGATAAACGGTTTTTCCAAACAGCTTTAATATTGGGATTGTTATCTGAAGTTATAACTGTTTCAATTTCCAATGGCTAAGTTTGAATGCCGTTGTGACACAACTGTAATGTGAATCCCATATACCTTATTCTAGCTTTCGGACAGCCCATTCTATTCATTCTACTTGAGTCATATTCTGACCTTGTTATTTATTCGCTTATCAATCTTCACTACCTTTATATGGGCGCGTAGGTGTGTGTACATTTCTTATCCCATTACTCATCACAAATATTGATTAACGCTTGGTTAAATGGGAGTTGGCTTACCAACCATCTCCACTGCGCGTCGTTTCGCTTTTCTCTATTCCATTCGCTTCATATACAAAATATATGTGTTCGAAAGTCCATTCTCGTTATTTGACTTATTTAATCCCGTTATTGACTAACGCGATTAAAGTCGATGATTATGTACGAGGATAGGTGATAACAAACATTCATTAAGATCTAATTAGAGTCAGATCTCGGGCCACTAAAGTGGAGAGCCCTTTCGACAGCATCGTTCGATCTAAATGACGATTAAATAACGGGCCCTACTAAACAACAATTGGATTTGATTCAATAAAGACAGGGTTCCCTTTGAACGACTAATAACTTTTGTTCACCACGCTCTTTAGATTGCTTTGTTCTTAAATAAAATTTTTAAATGTAAAGAAATACAACTCATACGTTTGGAAGAATATTGTTACTTTCAGTTTCTAAACTTGGTACTTCAAGGTGATAAAATGTCTTTATTTTTTCCAATTCTTGGAATTTTGTTATATGACATTAGATAAAAATGTTCAGCATCTTTCCCCTCTACTAAATTCGGAAAGTTATTAAACATATACAAGAGGCCTCCTAAACTGTTTACTTAAGCTAAATTTCCTTTTGAATAAGTAGTAATTTAGACATTACGAATGAGAAGTATTATTGATTATTCTTTAATTACGTGCTAGTGATTATACAGTTTTAAAATTCAACGTACATTTTGGGGTATTTGTTAAGAAGTGTAATTAATCATCTGGATAGCCTTTCATCATCCTACAGAATTTAACTCAATCGATATATACATAGGGAAACTAAGAAAGTTCGAGAATGTATAGTCTGCGAAAAATAAATGAAAATTAACATCCTAAACCATGAACGGGAAAATAGTTTGTGAATATTTATACTACTTACAACTAAATTAAGTAGAAACAGTTCCAAATAATTAAATTTTCTGATTTTGCTGTCAAATTATAGGAACAGAAACTTAAGATCATCGAACCTATGAATGAGCAAAATTATGTAAAACCCTCATTAGTTGGGTATATTCGTGTTGCATTACAATATAAAAAGCCAAATACAGATGAGAAAAGTAATAACAGTGAGTGACTGTTTAACTAATTTGGTAATTTTATTACATTATTAAACTATCCTTTATTTCTGCGTCGAGAAATCGTCTACTGAATGACTTTTCAAAGAACCATTCATTCTTCCTCTTTACATTTGACATTAATTAATGAATGCGCGTTATTAAAATAATTTAGAAAGCATAGGTGATAGACTGTCACGCACCACACAGGTAGCTTTTTATCAGTTATCTGTATAACGATAATTCTATTCAATTTTATCAAACTTGAAACAGCTCGTTTTCAAGTTTCGTTAACACAGTATACCAACATATACAACCTATATAAATTTATAAGAACTTATAAACTTTGAACCTGTTGAGGATTCATGTTGAAACCAGTCTTTTATTTTGTAGATGACTGGGTAACATTCGGTTGGACACAGATACAATGTTTTACTAAGAAAGACAACTCCAAATTTGTTAACGAAACTGGTTCAAAGGTAGGTGAATTAATTAAATAAATATGATTGATGCTCAATTACCTACAATTAGTTCAAACATTGATAGGATTGATTTATATTTGTCTGAAAGGTAAGTTGCTCAGTCCATAAGTCGTTATTGCATCAATCTTTTCTAGAGTAAAAATACTTGATTGAGATGACAATAAAAACAGATATATATATGTGATTTCTCTTACTTCAAAAATGAATGGAAGACAGTTCTATCTGGCCTGATTTTTAAAAGCTATTCCACTAAATTTCATAAGTAAACACATCTAGGAAAGTTTAAAACAACATTTTTCTAAGATTGAAAATTAAATCTAAAACATGATGTGAGTGAAAAACAAATTACGAAAAGTGGTTTATCCGTTATCAAACATACTTATTTCCCGCCAAATTAAAACTGAGATATAATTGGTAAACTTCACTTCACCTAGAGTTGTGCTGATGATATTTTTTAGAAGAACGATGAAAGCTTCACGACCGAATCTACCGGCACAGAGAACAAAATCCCACCTAATTTATCCACCTGAGCTACAAATCTCCCCACCATCTCATGAACTGAGACAAATCAACCAACCAGCGTTCTGAATCTCACTGGTTCCTCAATTAATGTAGTATCTTCTGATTAAACTTCCACAATATTATTTTAGTAATCTTTCAATTTAAAATTTACTTATTTCCACATAAGTAACATAATTATTATTTCAAGTGGGTACTGTTGGTGAATATTATTTTGTATAGAAAATTAATGACTGTAAACAGATAAAGAAATTGCTGAAAAAATTTGTTATATAGTATGGTAGGGTCGACATTAAAACTATTACGGTACTTGTTCTATGCTAACGAAGAATAAATGAATGGTAACTGCTAGGAATTATTTACAGACTGTTATTATACATATATTCATACTGTGTAACTATTAAGTAACTAGATTATATATATTTATATTCCACTTATTGTAAGCTTTCATTTGACTTATCGGCTACTATTATACGATTTACCATTTTTAACTTATTCCCAATTTATTAGTTACAGTATCTCACACTCATAGCCACTTTTGACTTGCTCTTGTATAATTGTAATTTCCTATTTTATGGTGCGATGAGGTCTGATTTGCTTGCATATAAACTGCTTATGTCTGAAATACACAATTCATGCAGTGAAGCTGAGATTGTGTTCTGAACTTAACGGGCAAGGCAAATCAAGGCAGGAACGAATAAGGACTCTTAGTTGACTCTAGGCTGCACGTACTAGTCAACGAATCATTGGTTTGATGAAATTTTGTTCTCTGAGCTGGATGGGTTGGTCGTGGAGCTTTCATCGTTCTTCTGAACGACATCATCAGCACAAACTTCAGCTAGAAGTGAAGTGTTTGAATTTCTCCATATGCGTTTCACAGCTTGTTCTGTGCACCTCAATGTTGATTGTTTCTTACTGACCATAAATTTGTCATTATTTACTTCTTTATTTTGGTTGTCTCCCATCGGTTCTATTTTTGTTCCTATATTTGTGCATAACTTTCCTGATTGGTTGATAAATTGGATCGATTTCAATGTGCTTGTTGATTGCTGATTGACCTGAGTGCCAGGCTTTTAAAAATTCCCTGGTGTTTTTGGAACTTCCTCTGTCCAAGATTTCCACATTTTTCCAATCGAATGAGTGTCCGCAGTTGTCCACGTGTATTTATATAAGTGAGGAAATATCATGGCGTTTGACTGCTAATGATGTTCATGTAGGCGAAATTGAAGGGTGCGTCCGCTTTGTCCAGCAAAGTAGACAATGACAAATTTAAGGTCAATAAGAACCAATCAACATCGAGGTGCACAGAACAAGCTGTGAAACGCATATGGAGAAATTCAAACACTTCACTTCTATCTGAAGTTTGTGCTGATGATGTCGTTCAGAAGAACGATGAAAGCTCCACGACCAAACCATCCAGCTCAGGGAAAAAAAGCTCCATCAAAATCATCCTCCTGAGCAACAAATCTTCTCCATCATCTCAAAATCATTGGTTTGACATAGCGCCAAGGTCATGTGAGTCGGTGTTTTAATTGGTGATTTTATCATGAGATAATTAACAGGGCAAAAGATATAACAGTTCCTTTCTAACCTAAAGATAAATTTCGAAGGTGTGATCATAAATATTCCAATAATAACCGAATTTACCATCTTTAAAATCTCTGATATTAATGAGGAACAGGTTTGAGAGAAAAGCAGGAAGATGTGAAAAACTGTCCACTAATGCACGGTCATGTGTAAATAATAGATTTAAATCACAGATATTTTGATGTTTTTTCATCTTTTATTTCGTGTCAAATATTGTCTATATTAGTAAATTTATGCTTAATAAGAAGTTTTAGATCTGTTCACTGTGACTGTGTCAGCAAATCTAGTTAATGTGAAAAGTTATCACTTAGGCACAAATTCACTTCATTTTATGTAATCTAACTAGTAAATCTACTTATAAATCCATAATATTCCTTAAATTATATGATTTTCCGGTTGTATCTTTAACAAATAAACCATTTAGTTTATATCTCAAACTAATGTAAATACCTACTTATACTAATCCTATTTTCAGATTTATCCATATAAATTATGGACACGTGAGGTTATCAATCCAATTGAACAAGGTACCTATCCAGAAATATTATATGATTCTGCATGGACTATGGATTATTTGTTAATTCCATTCAATTATTTATTTTATCACTTCTACTCATTACCCATCATAGAAACAGATAATTCTATACGTAAGTTAACTATGAGCAGAGTATAACACAATCAGTTTTTACACTGAAATTGTCATATTAAAAACCTGGAATACTTTTTTGATAGAAACTTATAAAGTTTGTTAAGGTGAAAATATATCTACAATAGAAATAATTATCTATAAAAAGATAAGATTGTGATTTTTTTAAACAGAAGCAATGGGGTTTAGAAGTTATTTGAAACGCGAAAAACTACATTGTCCAGGAGAAACGGATGTGAACTATTTTAGTTTGATTTCTTACATTCATTATCCTATTTGCATAATCTTGATGAAGTACATAAGAATAAAATATAAACAGAATATTCATTCAATGCCTTAATTCTATTTGACGAAGAAAATTTAACCTCAAGGCATTGAGACCAATACAACCAAGGGCTACATGGAAGTGTTTACTTAGAAGTTTTATATCATCATTAATAAGTTTAAGAAAAAATACATGAAAATGGGTACTTACAAGAGGATAACATCAAATCATGGGATTAAGATTTAGCTTTGTCATTGGTGATCATTTAAACATTTTCACTCTTGTGGATAGTGATAGTTCCTTAGATGTTTGCACAAGCGTAAAACAAAAAGTTACGAACATCACTCATTTAATGTTTAGGTAATAACTTCTATATTAGAAAATACTGAACAATTAGTGTCACAACCCGAAAGATTTACCGAACTTGGTCTAATTAACTATAACTATCCTTTAAGCGGAAGTCAATATTAGAAAATGTATTAAGATATAATACTGTGATATTAAGAAAAGGTTGCATTAGAGCAAACAATTAATGAAAACCATTACAACCAAACATGAAGCAGTACGGTCATTTTAAATTATCTTAGCTACAATATATTGATGTGCTCACACTAACATGTAATTTCATTTCTATAGTTGTAAAACATTATTTTAAATGTTAATCTTGTAATAGCTTCATATGCCAATTGCCTTGATTACCGTTCCAAACGGTGTACAATGCCCAGAAGACGATAAAAAATTGTTGTAAGTTTAATTTAGCACACCACAAATGAGCAAGTACATAATGTGAGAGATGAGTTGACGAATTAAATAATAGACTTTACTTAGGAAATATGTATAAACATGAAAAATCATTAACAGATTTAAGCGGGTAGACGAAATACATACATAAGCATCACATCCCTTCAATCATCCACATTCATACAAGAATGGAAATATATGTGTAAAGATCAAGGCAGATTATAACTAACATCAATAATCGATTAGTTAAAGGGCTAAATAAATTTCAGCAGGCACAAACTCAACTGTGTGATTGTGGTTGCTAAGTTCTCATAAGTACCTAACGAAATAAAACAAATGCAGGTCATCTACCTCAAATCTTTGATCCCCCTCTTTCCCAAGTTAGTGGAGGGAACTATGTATATAACAGAGTTTTATTGTATGTTAGCTGTAACATGACCTTCTTTTATGACGAGTAGATGGTTTAAGATATGAACGTCTGAAATCAACTGTGTCCTACGACCGATAACATTTTATGAGTCTTATGTGTCAGGTTGTACATTCTTTACAAAGTGTATGAAAATTTTTGGTTCTGATAGTGATTATTTAATACTATTAGATGATTCGAACGTGTTTCAGAAACGTTAGTTAAAATGCATATTAATTATATGCTGATGCTAATAAATGTATAGGCCATAAACATTCATATTGATATAGTAAAGATATATGAATGTAACAGAACTCACATTAATTCAAAACCACATAAAGATTTTCGAAAATCTAAAAAAACTATTTTGTTTTAACTTTCTAGCACTTCAACTTCTACATGGGTCACGAATCTCTCTTCGACTTTATAACCCTAATATTGAAGTAGTACCGAAAGTTATAGAACAACCAACTATCTATATAACTAGATCAGTTCAAACTAAGGTGATATATAAAGAAACAGTAAATATTGAAGATGCTGAATATCTTCAAGAAGAACAAATTATAGATCAGGAAGTTGAGTAAGTAAACTGAATAATTAATTTACAAATTGTAATACCCGTTAGTCAAAGTTATAAAAATGTATTTGCATTTAGAAAATTTGTGTGATATTTTGATGTCGTATTTCTGTTCATAAAAAATAAATAAATAAATATAATTTATAATATTTAATTTGGATAAATCGTAACTAATTAATTAATTTTCAGATGGGGCTTTTGTGCATATTATGCTAATTTAATGGTGGGGTTCATGAGTCAGTTAAAGCTAGACCACCATGAAAAACCTGAAAGCACTGGACGGCCGTTTCATTTTATTGTGGAACTCCTCAGCAGTGCGCATCCACGATCCCGCCCCGCCGGATTCGAACACAGGGACCAGCCGGTCTCGCGCGCGAGCGCTTAACCTCTAGACCATTGAGCCGGCATTGAAGTTAATTTTCAACAATAAATAGCACGAGGAATACAATACACCAGTAATTTTATAAAACTGTATGAGAATTGTACAATATCAGAAGTGACTGATGTTAAGAACATAGCCTTAAGAATTTTAAATCATTTGTCTAAATATATCTCATTCGGTTCCTGATTTGGAGGTTCTCTAATCCCTCATGTTTTGTGTCATGATTGCTCAACGATGTGTAGTTCTTATTTAGCTTGAAAAAGTTACTTAGTGCCCCGTGGTTTCAAATGGTTCCTTAGTTGATGTTCGTATGTAATTCCAATTATCTACCAAGGGTAACAAGTGTCAATAATATTAGTAGCTACAGTGATAATGGATAGGTATGGTATTGTTAGCACTAAACAGCAATCTTTCATGAAGAGGATGGAAGCGAATATAGAAATGAGGATTGCTATGACTGAATTCGGTCAGTTGTCTAATGCTGAATGCCCAATTAATAAACAAATTATTACCGAAGTGTGTACATAAGTTTTTTAGTAACACATGGTCTGTTAATCGGAAAAAGAATTCAACATATCAATAAATCATCATGATAAATTACTGATGACTACATGTATAAATCAAGCGAACGAACCGCAAATCATCGGTTAATGAAGCGACTTTGACGGTATATCAAAGAAGTAATAATTTTTCCAAAATAGGCACATAATATTTATTAATGGTTTATTTTGTAAATAGTCATTCCCGAATTAATTCATTTTGACCTCTGACCTGTTCTAGCATATATATATATATACATATATATATATGGTTATTATTGTAATCCAGTTATTTACACTCATCTATGTCAATTGTTTTCTCAATGTAAAAATTCTATAACATTTTTGTTTTGTAAGCAGCTGACGAGAAACCTCGAAATATTATGAATTTATACTATTCTGCACCAATATTCGTTCTTGCTTTATCTAATAAGAAGTAGTTGTTTACTGTCGCTTTATAAACGGTTTCCATTAGAAAATGTTAGATTTCAATACGGCTAATTTTAAAATCAATTGGAGCGATTTATTGTTTTCACCTGTACATTATTTGTAGTTCTGCCTTTTAAAATTATGACAATAAAAACTAGTGTGTTTAATGAGTCATGTGTGAATATTGTTAACCGTAATATAAAACTCGAAATGTCTAGACATTACGAATGTAACCATTTTTGACAAGCATTTGAAATATTAGTTTCATGAAGTGTAACTGAACAAGTCTACGTCGTCTGACTCAATAAATGTCTATCGACATGAAACGTATAAATATGCATAAAGTTCCTTATTATCATTATTTGTCATTATCTATATCTTAATCTTCACATCCATTATTCCCAATTCTTTGAGCGTAATTACCTTGATAACGCCCTCCTTGTTACAGATTATATTCAAACAAAAATATTATTACTATTATTATTATCTCAATTGACAAGATTCAATTCTCCTACTATGCATTTTATTCACACAAAGATTTTGGCATTTTCAATTTTGCTATCATAATATTCTCTACTTATTGTGACTGAATACTTTACTGTAAATCATCCTGACCTTTATTGGATGACCAATGTAATTTGCAAATATTACAATTATATTACAATATTATATATATATAACGATATGTATATCCCGTAACAGATGCAAACGTTCACCATTGTTAACACATTACATTGTCAAATTCATTAATGTCATGCCTTCTTTTTGGTCTTCATAAAATATTAAAATTATGAATTTATAACTGCATAGTGTGATGATGAAGTTATTGAAAACGATTGTTCGCTAATTTATTTTCCATTTTTGAATATTTTATGAGAATTTTTAACTGGTACAATGTGATTGTAGCAGTAATTAATAGTTAAAGAGGTGTGAAAATGAATACGGTGATACAATCAGTATATATGAATAACAATGAAGGCTTAGTTGACGATCAGACGTACTTCTTACGTACGCATAGTTCTGGTTTCAGGTACTTTTAAACGATGTGTACAAAAGAAGTACTGTCTTATCGTTACCTTGGCCTTAATTATTTTGATTATCCTATTATTATTATTATTATTATTGCATTCCCCCCTTTACTTATGTCTTATATTCTCATTGTTTTATTCGGAAATGCTCATCATATCAATTTATTTATTTTTTACACCTCTATGACCTTTAATTATTATGACAAAAAAACATTTTAATCATCTTGTTGTATTCACTAAATCTATTGTTATTATTCGTATTATGTAATCTAGTATTATAACCTTTTATTACGTCATGGTTAATTGTATTCACATTTCCTCACAGATTTAGTACTTTTACAAAAACAGAATTTTCATATATATACGATTGTACAGCTTGATAATAAATTCGTTGAAAAGAGATCCCTTCGCTGAACTTCGTGTTTTAATTTTAATGTTTAAATGGGAATTATCGGCAATTTTCTAACCGCCCCACCCTTTTTAAAAAGATTTTTTCAACCCCAAAATTACAATATTTTTCATCCAGTGTTTCGTCCAATGAAACGGCTAGTTTTAAAATTCGTTTTAATTGGTTAGTTATGTTTTGTCGAATTGTTATAAAACATCAGAACTTGCCGACGAAGTACATTTTAATCATCATTATGGAGGAGAGTAACGTGCCGAGTACAAGCGCTGTTGTTTCTCACGTCACGGAAATGGAGGAAGTCTTTTTGACAACCTTGTTTCTCGTTGCGTTCCCATCGATTGAAGCGTTGAAGTCCGCTATCACAAATTTTGAAAGATCGACTTACAGTCATTATGTAGTTCGAGATTCGCATATTGGCAGAGATCAAAAATCCTACATTAAATTTGTGTGTTGGAGAAATGAGCGTATAAGATCTAGCGGTTCGTCACAACGTATTAGACGGAGGAGGTAATTTGGTAAATTGTTTTATAATTTTTTTAACGAAGGGCTTCTATGAACACCCAATGTCCAGCATTTATGTTTTGTAAGATTATAGACGGCTATTGGACTGTTGTACGTGGGAATGTACATCACAATCACGAGTGCGACTCCCCGAGGTACCAAGGTAATTCATGGGTGCGCAGGTTAACGGAGGCCGAGTTTGAAACTGTGCGACCGCTCCTGATATCCGGTACCGCTGCGTTCGACATTAAGCGTTTTGCTTACCATTCTTATGGAAAACGTTTGAGTGATCAAGATATATTCAATATGCGGTACAAAGTTTTGCATGTAGAAAATGGGGATTTGGATGAAAAGTTCAGTAACGACGAAGAGGAAGTAGTTTCTATTAACTCCGAAGAGTTCAGGGAACGGGACATCGAATATGAAGAAGAGAATGATGACAACCGTTTGTGATATATGTAATCTTGCACAACCTCCAAACGATGCAGCTGCTTGGGTTTTTTGACCTTGCGAAGCACTGTTTCATAGGTTTTGTGCTTACGATCAATCATCAAACGTACGAGCAGTGAACTGTCCGATGTGTGACGCTATAACCAACTCATAGTTACGCCGTCGGACCGCGAGACCGAGTAAAGGCCCTTTTCAGGGCCACCTACAATTTGATTTACATTTTTTTGGTTGCATTTTTTTTTCTATGGCAAAGCTCAAGTGATTAAGCACTTATTAATGCCAAATGAATTTAGATATCCCTTAGAGATTATGAATCGAATAGCGATTATCGCTCATGTATTCGTACCTATTTTAAAACGTTTATGAGATATAATGGTTAAGAAATCTTATACAAGAATTTGTCATCTAATGAACATTAATCTAATAATTGTCGGTTTAAATAATATGATTACCGTTCATGTATTAGTAACATTGTTGTAATCTATCTAATAATAGTACATTTGAGTAAATTTCAATTGAAATATTTCAATATAATGAAAATTGTAATTTTGTTGTTAGGTCAATGAATTTAGGACTACATATATTAGTGAATATAATAAGATGATTACAATGATTATGTGATTAAAGCTCATAGGGAAGTAAACACAATTAAGAAAATTATCTTATTTATGAATAAAATAATGACAGTACAAAACCAGTTGAAACCATTATCATTGAAATGATTAATGTGATTAATGGTCATATAGTAGGTGTAAAAAGAAATAAGAATATCAACCGTTTCATGAATACACAATTAAGGATTTTATATTCTTGTTTTATATTAAAAGTGACAGATAATTCCCATTTAAACATTAAAATTAAAACACGAAGTTCAGCGAAGGGATCTCTTTTCAACGAATTTATTATCAAGCTGTACAATCGTATATATATGAAAATTCTGTTTTTGTAAAAGTACTAAATCTGTGAGGAAATGTGAATACAATTAACCATGACGTAATAAAAGGTTATAATACTAGATTACATAATACGAATAATAACAATAGATTTAGTGAATACAACAAGATGATTAAAATGTTTTTTTGTCATAATAATTAAAGGTCATAGAGGTGTAAAAAATAAATAAATTGATATGATGAGCATTTCCGAATAAAACAATGAGAATATAAGACATAAGTAAAGGGGGGAATGCAATAATAATAATAATAATAATAATAGGATAATCAAAATAATTAAGGCCAAGGTAACGATAAGACAGTACTTCTTTTGTACACATCGTTTAAAAGTACCTGAAACCAGAACTATGCGTACGTAAGAAGTACGTCTGATCGTCAACTAAGCCTTCATTGTTATTCATATATACTGATTGTATCACCGTATTCATTTTCACACCTCTTTAACTATTAATTACTGCTACAATCACATTGTACCAGTTAAAAATTCTCATAAAATATTCAAAAATGGAAAATAAATTAGCGAACAATCGTTTTCAATAACTTCATCATCACACTATGCAGTTATAAATTCATAATTTTAATATTTTATGAAGACCAAAAAGAAGGCATGACATTAATGAATTTGACAATGTAATGTGTTAACAATGGTGAACGTTTGCATCTGTTACGATATATATATTTATAATTCGTAAATCTATATATATATATATATATATTTACAAATTAAAAAGGTCATTCATCAAAGGTCGGGATGATTTGCAGTGAAAACACTTTTCTGCATAATAAGTGCAACAGCATTCGAGCGAAATTGAAAATGCAAAACATTTTACGTCAATTAAATACATAGTACGAGGATGGAGTATTGTCAATGCAGATAATAATAATGAAATTAAGATTGTTGTGTACATATCATATATTATACGGAGGGTGTTATCAAGGTTATTACGATCCATCATTCCGATGGATGTGCCGATTAAGATATAGATAATGAAAAATAATAATCATAAGGAAAATAAATGATAATGACATTTTAAATGTGCACTGATACAGTTGACCTGATCCACATTTATACGTTTCATGTCGATAGACATTTATTGAGTCAGACGACGTAGACTTGTTCAGTTACACTTCATGAAACTAATATTTCAAATGCTTGTCAAAAATGGTTACATTCGTAATGTCTAGACATTTCGAGTTTTATATTACGGTTAACAATATTCACACATGACTCATTAAACACACTAGTTTTTATTACGACCGAAAAATGTATTTTAAAATACAGAACTACAAATAATTTACAAGTGAAAACATTAAACCCTTTCAATGGATTTTAAAATTAGCCGTATTGAAATCTAACGTTTTCTAATTCTCATTAAGAGTGATCATTTACAAAACAACCATTTACTAAATATTCCGTGCATATTGCGGAAACATTATTACTTTTTTGATATTCCGTCAAAGTCGTTTCATTAACCCATAGTTTACGGTTGGTTCGCCTGATTTATACATGTCGTTATCAATAAATTATCATGATGACTTATTAATATGTTGATTTCTTTTTCCCATTAACACACCATGTGTTACAAAAAAATTATGCACAAACTTTGGTGATAATTTCATTATTATTTTGGTATTCAACATTTGACTACCGACCTTATTCAGTAATTACTATTATCAAATATTCAAACCGGTTTTCACTTGCTTTTTATGTGATACATATAAGTATTCGTAGCAGCATAACTAACGACTTCAATTGAAGGTTGACATTAAATCACTTAATCGGAAATCAAAAATTTATCTCACTATACACATTCACTAACAGTAGGATTGAACTTAAGTTGGTGTTTTTTTCTCAAAATGTCTAAATTCTTTTCAAGACTAACATGACACAACTAAACGTAAAATAAAGGAGTATTTCTAATATTGTTATCTAGTATAATTAACTTCGGAAAGACTACACCAGTAAATTTGTCAAATTCATAATACAGGAAGTAAGCCTTTTAATCATTGTAGCTTTTACACTTTTTGATTCTACTGAACTCACTTAATTGATTTTATGCATTTTATTAGGGATATTGAAGAATTAAGTCCAACAGCTACTCCGATTGACGATCCATGGGTACCATTCAAAAAACTTGCACCATACGAAAGATTAATGAAACCATCTTCAACATCTGAACCATTTTGTATTTATGTCGATCAATTACGCTTCATGCCAGATAACTCGACAATTTTTAAGGTATTTTCCAGTTATACGATTAAAGTAGATAAATATTCAAGAACAATCTTTGTACTACTGACAATAAAGGTAATTCAACATTTGTGCAGGGTAGATAAAATAGAAATAGAGAGAGGATCAGAAGATAAAGAATAATATAGAGCAGCGAAATTGTGATAGCTCACTTATTTTTGAAATATATGGTTGTGATATTGTCTAGCATGACACTGAAAGGATCACGAATAAACTATCCGGTTTGTATACACGATTTTCCTCTTAAATTAGTAATCCTTTAAATTACCTCAAAGTCTTTAAATATAGTAGAAACAAAGAGATGAGCGTTCAGCTTCCTTGTTGATTTTATCTAATATCAAGTAATAATGACAGAAAAGGCCTAATACGATGATTTCTACAAGTTGAAATTTATCAGCATTCATTTGCTGAAATCTCACTTAATACATACAAAATAAGGTCTAACACCTAGATGTAATGTTCTAGTGTCTGATTGTCACTACTAAATTCACGAACAACCAACTATGTGAAGGAAAAAGAGCGAGATCAGAAGTGAAACTTTATTGTCGATAGTCAAATAATAAATTTTATAAATCACTCATATGTTGCTAAATTAATAATAACTCATGTTCAATGATCTGGATTAGAGGAATAATTCCCTAGCTCATTATAAACCAGTCACAACTATCCCCTACCAAGTAAGCTTTACCTAATATATTATATCTATCCAACATTGCCAATTATATCATCTAGCTGATATCATTATGCTATTTTTGGAGCATGTAAAATTGTTTCATGAACTTAATAGTCACCAAGTAACTAATCTAACTATTCTCCAACTTTAATTTTTACAAGCAATAAGATTTGTAAGTCATTCCAAGACTGTAGTAATTAACTTCAGAGTTTCATTTTTGCCGTTAATTTTAAAACCAAGGGACAAAAACTTTTCAGATAAGAAGCTTGACTATGTTACTATGATACAACAATCAAAAGATAAAATGTGTCTTATAGTTATGGTATTAAATGTTAGATGAAGATTACGACAAAGAAATTTCTTCTCTATAAGATCATCTTCAATGATAAATGTCTAAAGTCATAAATATGAATATATACTCATTTATCAATATACTAATGATTTAGTAAACTTATTTATTGTACATATATGTGTATATATGAAAACAGCCGTTCAATTCACGTTAGATACTAATGAATTTCCAAACAATATCAGTTCGTGGTGAAAGCTGCTTTCAAAATATAACAACTCACCTTAGAACCATTTGTACGATCATGCAAATGCAGTTAATTCTTTTAGTCTCGTATGTTTTTTTAAGTTATCTGTCACAATGCTGTTACAAGTCCATAGAAATGATAAAATAATGTTTAACCCCCTTGATTTTGTGCTACTTGGCACTCGTCAGCGACGTGCACCTGTAATTTTAAGGGAACTGATGCTCCCTGATGGATTTAATCCCGTATCCTGAAGCTTCATAGTCAGACACGTTACCGTTGAGCTATTTGAGCCACGGTTGACCACCTATAGGACTGAAATGCATTTCAGTTGACTGATTACTGGATAGTGATCAATGTCATGTATGTCAGGTCCTTCTTGGTGCAGAGAAAATTCTATCGACCAAGTTGCAATCTGGCCACTAGTATAGGTTACTCGACATTGCGTTTCCTAATGACTACTTCCAATCACCATCTTATCTCAACATAGTGCACGCAATGTTGAGTCACCTAGACTAGTGGCCAGATTCCACCTTGGTCGACAGAATTCTGTCTGCACTAAGAAAGACCTGATATACATGACAATGATCACCACCCAGTGATCAATCAGTTGTAATGTTAAAGCCCTTTATCCTTCTATCATCAAACTTGTGTTAAATTTTTATTTACAGGTTACTGGTCGGTTACTAAATACAAAGTATGATGAGGAATTATCGGACATTTTGATTGTACCAGAAGAAAATTTTGAGATAAGAGAAACTAGTAGATCACCAGTTTTTTCTCCAAATCAACGTTTTATTGTTAATCTTAGTCAAAACAAAACTTTATCCCAGAACTCTTTACTATTTCTAAGGGTGTATACACTTACACTCACAAATCTAAAATATGTAGTTATTGGAAACGTTCTGCTGAAGTTATTCAATTCAAATGTAAGTTTTGTTTTCTTTCATTACGAAGCAAAATTATACAATCTATAGTTAAGTAGTCAGCTACAAAAACAACTGAATAATATGAACTATTGAAAGCTACCCAATTAAAGTTGAGAAAGCCTTTACAAACAGGTATAGTGTAATTAAAAATGTAAGAGTTTAACATTGTTGAATATATAAAATTGAATTATGTATAAGTGAATGATAGTAGGCTTAAATTGGAAATATAAACATATTTCTCTATGAATCCTACAAGTTGCTTAACTGTATCAAAGTTGTCATGGGATTGATTTTGAAAACTTAAAATAAATAGGAAATAATTTTATTGTAGTTAAGATTAATGTTATTCGTTAAGTTGATTATAGGATGCAAACATACATCTTTGTTTATGAATAAAACGATAATGAGTCACTCAGACTAGTGGTCATATTGCAACCTTTCCGATAAAATTCGATCAACACTAAGAAATATTTGACATATATGATACTGTTCTTTACCCAGTGATCAATCAACTGATATAAAGTCACTAGACCACTGAGCCGGCATCCAACGGTGTTAATGTCTAACTTCAACCAATCCAAGAAGTTGCGCCACCGTACACCATTGTATTCAGTGAGTTGTTATCTCACAACAGACCGGGTGAACTCCACTGGTAACGGCTTCTCACTAGAACTCCAGGAGTTTTTCTTGAAGTCAGTCACTAGTGAGCAGTTGATTATTATCAGAATGGGCTTTGTGGAGAGTTTTAGAAATTTCACAGGTTGAAATCATGAGTCAGTTGAAGCTAGACCACATTGAAAACCTGGAAGCACTGGACGGCCGTTTCGTCCTAGTATGGGACTCCTCAGCAGTGCGCATCCACGATCCCGGCTCAGTGGTCTAATGGTTAAGTGCTCGCGCGCGAAGGCAGTAGGTCCTGGATTCGAGCCCCGCGTGGTGCGGGATCGTGGATGAGCACTGCTGAGGAGTCCCATACTAGGACGAAACGGCCGTCCAGTGCTTCCAGGTTTTCAATGTGGTCTAGCTTCAACTGACTCATGATTTCAACCTGTGAAATTTCTAAAACTCTCCACAAAGCCCATTCTGATAATAATCAACTGCTCACTAGTGACTGACTTCAAGAAAAACTCCTGGAGTTCTAGTGAGAAGCCGTTACCAGTGGAGTTCACCCGGTCTGTTGTGAGATAACAACTCACTGAATACAATGGTGTACGGTGGCGCAACTTCTTGGATTGGTTGAAGTTAGACATTAACACCGTTGGATGCCGGCTCAGTGGTCTAGTGGTTAAGTGCTCGCGCGCGAAGCCAGTAAGTGATATAAAGTCATATTTAGTATCGCATCCAGAATTTAGTAAATTAGCATGACTTTCTTCAATTTCAACATTAGTTAGTGTAACTATGACTATCTTGTTGAATAACATTCGTTACATCAACGTTCAATTTGTTTATCAGATCATAGTCTCAGTTAGATATAAAGTTAGCTCCTACTATGAACACATAACTACTACATGCTTTCACAAAAGTCAAAACTGAAAAGACCCTATTTAAATCAATCTATTCCTAATATTCTTCTAACCCAGTGAATATTAAGGTCGACATCAATTGACCGGCCAATATGATTCCCTACCACTCATTTTAAAAAAAATTGTGGGGTGTGAATGAAAAATTTAGGTATCGTTGATTGGTGGACTTGTTTTGCAAGTGTGTGCTCAAGTGATAATGAACAAACATTTTGTTACCTTCACAATTGATTGATCACTGGGTGGTGATCAATGTCATGCTTGTCTAGTCCTTATTAGTGCAGATCGAATGCTATCGATCATGTTGCAATGTGGCCACCAGTCTAGGTGACTCGACACTGCGGGCACTATGTATTGAAATTTAGATGGTGGTTGGAGGTAGTCAACAGGAAATCCTGGACCCGGGTTTCGTGCTACTTGGCACTCGTCAGCAAGGTGTACCTGTAATCTTGAGGGAACCGGTGCTCCCTGGCGGATTCGATTTCGTGTCACCCAGCTTCACAGTGCTACAATATGATTGTAGCAGTAATTAATAGTTAAAGAGGTGTGAAAATGAATACGGTGATATAATCAGTATATATGAATAACAATGAAGGCTTAGTTGACGATCAGACGTACTTCTTACGTACGCATAGTTCTGGTTTCAGGTACTTTTAATATAAAACCGGAATATGAAATTCGTGCATTTTGAATTCATGAAACAGCTAATATTCTTATTTCTTTTTACACCCACCTTTAGTCACATGAATCGTTTCAATGATGATGGTTTCAACTTGTTTCATAAATAATTGCGTTTACTTCTCTATGAGCTTTAATCGCATTAATCATAGTAATTATCTTATTATATTTATAGCGACTCACATACAATTGAGTTGATTCTCATTTACCTCAGTTAAGCTGTTTTTGTTAACTTATTCAGTGTACAAAGTCATCCATACTATGAACATGTTTACAGCCTACGCATATATTCATTCTGCCAACTTCATTACTAGTTGCTTAATCTAATCGTTGACTGATCCATTTCCCTATATATATATATATATATATATATATATATATATATATATATATATATATATATATATATATATATATATATATATATATATATATATATATATACATTTACACACTATTAGATTAGTGTTCATTAGATTAGCAAATCTTGTCTAAGTTTTCTGAACCTTTATATCTAATGGACGTCGGAAACGAGTTTACTAATAAATGAGATACAATGGCTTATCAATGATTAATCTGTAAGGCATACCTAAGTACGTTAGATATTAATGGAAAGAAATTGAGAAATTATGGAAATCAAATTGTGGGTGGCCCTGAAAAGGGCCTTTACTCGTTCCCGTTTTAGTTTGTAACGGCGCCACACATAGAACAGTGCACTGCTCGTACGTTCGGTGATGGGTCGTAGGCACAGAAGGTATGAAACATTGCTTCACAATGACAGAAAACCCAACCCACTGCATCACCTGTTTCACACGGCTGCTGCGCAAGATTACAGATGTCGCATAGTCGGTTCTCTTCATCCTCTTCTTCATTTTGGATGAAGAAGAAATACAATAGACAGTTCTCATCGTTCAATTCGTATTCGCAAAGCCCACCCAAGAATGTTATGTGAGCTTTCAATTTCCCGTAATCACCTATAGTGTACATTATAAATTCGCAAATACTTTACCAGGAAGGTTCGCCTGCGAGAACACTTTGTACCGCAGATTACACACATCATCATTAAGAAGTTTACCATAAGATTGGTAAGCGAAATTCTAAATGTGGAAGGAAGCCGTACCAGATATGAGCAGTGGCCGCACAGTTTCAAACTCAGCATCCGTTAACCTGTGCATCCATTAATTACCTTGGTACCTCAGGGAATTGCACTCGTGAGTATGATGCACATTCCCACGTACAACAGTCCAGTAGCCGTCTATAATCTTACAATACATCAAGGCCGGACATTGGGTGTTCATGGAAGCCCTTCGTGAACAAAATTATAATTACATTAACTAAATTGCCTCCTACGTCTAATACGTTGTGACGAACCGCTAGATCTCATACGCCCATTTCTTCAACACACAAATTTAATATAGGAATTCTCATCTCTCACTACATAATGACTGTAAGTCGATCTTTCGAAAGTTGCGATAGCGGCCTTTAACGCTTCAACTGATGGGTACGCAACCAGAAACAAGGTTGTCAAAAAGACTTCCTCCATTTCTGTTACGTGAGAAACAACAGCGCTTGTACTCGGCACGTTACTCTCCTCCATAATGATGATTAAAATGTACTTCGTCGGCAAGTTCTGATATTTTATAACAATTTTCAAGACATAACTAATCAATTAAAACGAATTTTACAACTAGCCATTTCATTGAACGAAACACGGGATGAAAAATATTGTAATTTGGGGGTGGAAAAATTTTTTCAGTGGGGCGTGGGGGGAATTTTAAAAAAATTTCAAAACTTGCCGGGTAGATAATAAAAATCGAATATTAGGACACTAATTTGATGCAATGAATCAGTTAAGCAACAAAAGTTGAATAATATTGTCCGACCGGCCATTTTTTTAAAAAAAAACCCACCCCATAAAAAAATTTTCCACCCCCAAATTACAATATTTTTCGTCCTGTGTTTCGTCCATTGAAATGGCTAGTTGTAAAATTCGTTTTAATTGATTAGTTATGTCTTGAAAATTGTTAATATTATAAGTACTTGTCGACGAAGCACAATCTCAATCGTCATTATGGAGCAGAGTAACGTTCCGAGTACAAGCGCTGTTGTTTCTCACGTCACGGAAATGGAGGAAGTCTTTTTGACAACCTTGTTTCTCGTTGCGTTCCCATCGATTGAAGCGTTGAAGACCACTATCACAAATTTTGAAAGATCGACTTACAGTCATTATGTAGTTCGAGATTCGCATATTGGCGGAGATCAAAAATCCTACATTAAATTTGTGTGTTGGAGAAATGAGCGTATAAGATCTAGCGGTTCGTCACAACGTATTAGACGGAGGAGGTAATTTGGTAAATTGTTTTATAATTTTTTTAACGAAGGGCTTCTATGAACACCCAATGTCCAGCATTTATGTTTTGTAAGATTATAGACGGCTATTGGACTGTTGTACGTGGGAATGTACATCACAATCACGAGTGCGACTCCCCGAGGTACCAAGGTAATTCATGGGTGCGCAGGTTAACGGAGGCCGAGTTTGAAACTGTGCGACCGCTCCTGATTTCCGGTACCGCTGCATTCCACATTTAGAATTTCGCTTACCAATCTTATGGGAAATGTCTGACCGCTCAAGATGTCTGCAATATGCGGTACAAAGTGTTCTCACACGCGAACCTTCCTGGTACGGAATTTGCCAATTTATAATGTACACTATAGGTGATTACGGGAAATTGAAAGCTCACATAACATTCTTGGGTGGGCTTTGCGAATACGAATTGAACGATGAGAACTGTCTATCGTATTTCTTCTTCATGACTGCTGAACAAGTGAATTTGGCCGGTCACTTTTGTGACGTAATTGGTTTTGACGGGACGTACAAAACGAATAACGAGAACGTCCATTTATATCAAGTCGTTGCCCTGGATATGAATTTTAAGGCAATACCCATGTGCATTGCCTTTTTAAGTCGCGAAACGTCAACATTCATTTCTGCCTTCCTGCATTTTTTCCAACGGTGTACCAACAGTCGACAACTGGTAGGCATTGTGACCGATGATTCACCTGCAATTGCTGCTGCTATTACGCAGGTGTATCCGGATGCACACCATATTCTGTGTCGCGTACACCTTGTTCGGAATGTGATAAAGAGGGTAAGTGTTTCGTTCATTAACATTAACCCAGTAACCGTTATTGTAGAGGGTGCGATCAGAAATTGTACAACTGTTCTTTCGCCTCTTATTCACTCGAACGGTTGAATCGACTCTGCGACATCTGTAATCTTGCGCAGCAGCCGTGTGAAACCGGTGATGCGGTTGGTTGGGTTTTCTGTCATTGTGAAGCAATGTTTCATACCTTCTGTGCCTACGACCCATCACCGAACGTACGAGCTGTGCACTGTCCTATCTGTGGCGTCATTACAAACTAATAGTGATGACGTCCGACCGCGAGACCGAGTAAAGGCCCTTTTCAGGGCCACCTACAATTTGATTTACATATTTTTGGTTGCATTTTTTTTTCTATGGCAAAGCTCAAGTGATTAAGCACTTATTAATGTCTCATGAATTTAGATATCCCTTAGAGATTAATAATGGAAAAGCGATTATCGCTCGTGTATTCGTAAACTTGTTTCTAACGTTTATTAGATATAAAGGTTAAGAAAACTTGGACAAGATTTTGTCATCTAATGAAGACTAATCTAGTAATTTTATATTTAAAATAATGTGATTACCGTTCATGTTTTAGTAACACATTTGTAAACTATCTAATAAAAGTACATTTTGAGTACATTTTAATAGGAATATTTTAAATTAGTGAAAATCGTAATTTTGTTGTTAGGTCAATAAATTTATGATGACATTTATTAGTGAATGTAATAAGATAATTACAAAGATGAATGTGATTAAAGCTCATAGAGAAGTAAACAAAATTAAGAAAATTAACTTATTTAGGAATAAAATAATGACATTAGAAAACAAGTTGAAACCATCATCATTGAAATGATTCATGTGATAAAAGGTCATACAGTAAGTGTAAAAAGAAATAAGAATATTATCCGTTTCATGAATACAAAAAACAAGAATTTCATATTCTTGTTTTATATTAAAAGTTCCTGAAACCAGAACTATGCGTACGTAAGAAGTACGTCTGATCGTCAACTAAGCCTTCATTGTTATTCATAACTACTGATTATATCACCGTATTCATTTTCACACCTCTTTAACTATTAATTACTGCTACAATCACATTGTACCAGTTAAAAATTCTCATAAAATATTCAAAAATGGAAAATAAATTAGCGAACAATCGTTTTCAATAACTTTATCATCACACTATACAGTTATAAATTCATAATTTTAATATTTTATGAAGACCAAAAATAAGGCATGACATTTATGAATTTGACAATGTAATGTGTTAACAATGGTTAACGTTTACATCTGTAACGATATATATGTTTACAAATTAAAAAGGTCATTCACTAAAGGTCGGGATGATTTGCAGTAAAGTGTTCAGTCACAATAAGTGACTAAGTATTATAGGAAAATTGAAACTGCAAAAAATTTTGTGTCAATGAAATACATAGTCTGAGAATTGAATCTTGTCAATTCACATAATAATAATAATAATAATAATAATAATAATAATAATAATAATAATAATAATAATAATAATGAGGACAATAAATAAGAATAGCATTGTAAATGTTCATTGATACAGTTGACCTTATTCATATTTATACGTTTAAAGTCGATAGATATTTGTTGAGTCAGTCAGACGACGTAGGCTTGTTCATTTACACTTCATGAAACTGATATTTCAAATGCTTGTCAAAAATGGTTACATTCATAATGTCTAGATAATTCAGGTTTCATATTACGGCGGTTAACAATATTCACACATGACTGATTAAACAAACTAGTATTTATAACGACCAAAAAATTAATTTTAAAATACAGAACTACAAATAATTTACAAGTGAAAATAATGAACCGTTTCAATGGATTTCCAAATTAACCACATTTAAATCTAACGTTTTCAAATTCTCATTATGAATGACCATTTACAAAATAAACGTCCACTAAATATTAAGTGTCTATTTCGGAAAATTTATTACTACTTTCATATACTGTCAAAGTCAGTTCATTAAATTATGGTCTATGATTGCTTCACCTGAATTATACATATTTCAACCAGTAAGTTATCATAATGATTTATTGATATGTTGATTTCTTTTTCCCATTAACACACCGTGTGTTACAACAAAACCTATGCACGCACTTTGGTGATAATTTGTTTATTAATTTGGTATTAAATATTTGACTACCGACCTCATTCAGTAATCACTATTATCAAATATTCAAACCGGTTTTCAGTTGCTTTTTCCCAAAAACTTTCTTTTACTGAGATACATATAATTATTCCTGTTCAGATAACTAACGACTTCAATTCAAGGTATACTTGATCGGAAAACAAAAATTGATCCCAATACACATTCACTAACAGTAGGATTGCACGGTAATGCAATTAAGTTGGTGTCTTTTTCTTCAAAAGTCTAAATTTTTTTCAAGACTAAGATTACACAAAAAAAATTATTCATTATCATTAAATTTCAAATGTAAAAAATGAAAATTCTGACATCCAATCACAGCTCCAGATGCGATTTCGATTTCAACTAATCAGATTACAAAGATGAACAGTTTACGACCAATCACAAAATTATTAAAGGTAACAAAATGTTTGTTCATTATCACTTGAGCACACACTTGCAAAACAAGTCCACCAATCAACGATACCTAAATTTTTCATTCACACCCCACAATTTTTTTAAAAGGGGTGGTAGGGAATCATATAGGCCGGTTACTTAATGTCAACCACAAAAGTTGAAATAATGTATCGGTTTGATTTTTTAAAAAATATTACGGCAAATCTGTAGAACATAAGCCTATAAAAGTAGTGGATTTCTCCATTCTAATAGACCTCTTTTGTGGTCAGTAATCCTGTTTGATCAATTTATTCTCTTATTTATGCTGAATGGGTTATGAGTAGTTGATACTAACTCATTCAGATACTACCGTATAATGATTATTTCACGGACAGATATCAAAGGCTTTAAAAGCTATTCGCTATTAGTTTGTGGTTATCATCTTGGAATCAGGCAACCGCTCAAACAATTTGATCAAATTATATCTTGTGTTCACTTTAAACATCTTAAATCCCACGAAGAAGAAACGTTTTAGTACACAATACACTGGAAGTAACACATGAAATCGGACCGTGGTGGATCGATTTATATATTACCGAAGATCCTTATGAAAATGAAAGCTGTGACTAAACTACCGACCATCAATTAAATTTTTGCATTGAACACTGTTGATCATAGAATAACTGAAGGTTTAAATTAGAAATTATAAACCAAATTAGGTTGAAAAGGATTTGAAAATGTGTCATTGATAATCCAATCAAAAACAGTGAAGCATATACATAATTTGATGTTTTACGATGAACATAATTCATTAAATGGTAAATATATTCTATACAGTCTTTGATTATATCCTGTTTATTTCTACATTTGATTCTTTACTTTATCACAGGGTCTACTTAATATTGGTGGGCATCAACTTAGATTAAGATGTGAAGTACCGAAACCAATATCTCAGAACATGAATAATAATGAAATATTTTATCAAGAAGATTCATTAAATAATGCACCTTATATACATTGTTCAACAATTCTTGTTCGTCTCTTACCTTATACAGAGGTAATCAGTAACCTATATTTTTCTCACAATTCATTTTGTTTTGAATATTACCCGTTTTCTCTTAGAACTAAATATCTCATTGCTAATGATAGTACCAGTTAACTTATAGTTAAATATTTGAGGATAAGTATGTAAATATGGGTAATATTCACAGTTCAATTCGTAAATTATTTTGTAGATTTTGAATAATAAAACCTCAGAAGGGTCAACTAATTCACAGTGTATGTAAAGAACAATGTACCGTCCTTAATTATTTTTCTGAAAAATATTTTATGTATTTTAGAAGCCTTTACCTCAACCGGAATACAGATTTAGATCATATCGTTCAGCTGAATCGACTCCAACAAATTTTGAATGGGTTGTATATCGTCAATTCCAGTCCGATGAAAATAGGAAAACAGACATACACAGTATGGTGAAAATGATTTTACGGCGTGAGGGTGAATTCGACAAATCTTCAGGTAAATATAAATAATTAAATAATAATCTCTGATTACCGGTTAATTAGAAAAGGTGTGCTTCATCAATTCATCTTAAATACTTATATAATAAACCGAATAATTTATTGTTGCTATGTCTGTGTCCCGTAACCGTTGGCACTGTTATGCATGTGTTACTCTTAACATGTAGGTATCGGCTCTGTTGTACCGCTGTCATACTGTAGTGAATGAGAACACAAGTGGGTACAACCGAATAAGCTTAAACACAAAACTACAGAATATCTTAGTAAAATCTGAGAACCATACAGTAAATACTTCATTTGAAAAATGTCAATCTATTGTCTCAAACTTGACTGTTCCTTTTGCAAATATCAGTTAATCGTCTTACATTAAATTATTCTTTCGTTTCCACACTAATCGCTTTTTATTTTCGTCGATCTTTTCTTTGATCATTTCAACCTTCTGCCGCCAGACATTTCAATTTCGATTGATGACCGATACTGCTTATATCAATCGACATCAGTAGCACACGCCACAATACTGATTATACCTGGGAAACGGGATCTACTGTAACTCCCATGACTTGAAATGAGAACATAAAAGTTAGTACAAGATTGATCGACTCTCCATAAGACAACTTCATAACAAGTTGTCATTTGAAATATCTAAAAAGATTGTTACTTATGTAAAATTTGAATTGTAAGCTCATGACACCATATTCACAAGAATATTTATTTAGATAGTTATAATATTTAAAAACATTTCTGGTTGACTCATAGAATTAGCTAAATTGTTTAGTCTATGTTCATACGCCTTCAATAATGTTTACAATAATGATCAATTTATAGAAAACTAGAGATACTTTCCAGTGTTTTTTTCTTTTTTGATAACTTCAAATAATCTAGAACAAAATGACTTCTTAACTTCTGATTATCTATATCGTTACACACTTCAACGAATGTCAATTAAAAGAAATACAACTACAAATGGTATACCAAACCAAATGATTTCAGCGTTTCCATTTTTTTATCGTGTAAATGACGGTTTTCTGTTAAGTTTAAAGGACGCTAAGGGTTTGACAGTAAAAGGTAAGCAGCAGACTTATTTTATGTTCAATTAAAATTAAGAGTATATCTATGTTCTGGAAAAGAATCTAAGTAATCTAACTTAAGAATAATCTCGTGACACTTTTTCATTTTACATGAGACAGAAGCTTAACACAGTTTCTCCATAGTTTATATCACGAACTAATCTTAGTTAGACTACCATTGAATACCTGGAAGCATTGAACGATTGTCTTGTCCTAGTATGGGACTCTTTGACGACCACGCATTTATATATCCATGGAATATTTGTGGAAATTAAACATCTTCAATGGTTTGCCTAGTTGTTTAGTAATAGCTTCATTAAGGGAGATATTCATAACAATTGTTAATATTGGGATAAATTGAGTTCGTTTAATTTTGTGTAAGACACATAAAACAATTTATTGCATTAATGGTGACTAATATTAATTAAACCACACAACGTAATCATATGTGGTCTGAAACTATGGTCAGGAACATAATACTAATCCTTTATATGATTAAAGTGGAAGAAATATATAGCAACGAATTGGGATTGTCGATGTATTGCGTGAGAAATAAGTGAAGATGCACGCTGGAATGAATGGATCCATTTAAAATGTAAATCATTAATTCAACAAATGAACCTCTTTCAAAGAGTTCTTGCTCGAATCCGCACAACTTCGCATACATGAATATATACGTCTGTAAGCAAATGGTGCTTGTAGTAGGTTTGTATCTTCCAATTGTTGATGTTAACAACTGCAACTCATTATTCTCTTTTAGGGTATGTGAAGCTTTAGTTAATTGTTCTGATATCCAACTAACTGATCAACACAATCTGATATATCCGGACGAGAAATATGAATGCTAACTCTTGGGATCTATCTATGGACTAACATTATACATTTATTTTTATTGCATGATTGTTGAATAACTAAACTATGCATATTCATGTTCCTCTAATTATAAGCTTTATTTTGACCCATAGATTATTATCATAAGATTTACTGTTCGTAAGTTATGTCCAGTCTATTAGTTACAGTCTCCCACATTCACAGCCACTTTTGACTAGATCTTGTACAACTGTTATTAGCTATTTTATGGTGTGATGTGGTCTCTTTGGTTTGTATATAAACCCAGTATGTTTAAAATACGTGATTCATGTAGCGGAGGCTGAGAATGATGTTCTGGACTTAACAGGCAGGGCGAGGCAGGAAAAAGAACCGATAAGGATTATAGATTGCTCTTACGGGTTTATGCTTCATAGGTCCGGTCGATAAGTTACTGTTCGCTAATTGGCGGTATCATTAAGTTATATACTAATAGGAAACAAGTTATAATAGTTATGTCACTCAACTGTCTAAAATGAATTTTAAAAATCCTCTATTGAAAACAATTAAGTTAAATGAATTGGTCTGAATGACTTTCACGACTATTTAGGCTGCTCGATGAATGCCAAATATAAACTTAAGTTGACATTAAGAACATACATTGTTGACACAAAACAATAATCAAACTCATGTAAAGAGTTCAAAGTCACAGACTGACACTACTCAATATATTTATTATCACTAAACTTATGTTTATTTTATACATGTATATATTCAAGTTTAGTACACCAATATCCATTACCATTATTTCATTTAGAAGGAGATTATATTTTTGGGTTGGCTAAAGTTATACGAAGCTCTGATACTAGTCTTATGCCAGTTAACAAATTTTATGGTTTTGGCAATGATGATGACTTATTATTCGACAGATTTGATTCAACAATGTCTCTTGAAAATCCTAAATGGGAAGACGCGCCTCAAGTAAGTATGTAATAACTTCATATAAGCCTACGTAAATTTATTCTTGTTTGAATAGTATATGATAAATATGTCACGTTGATTTGATACTTATTCTAAAAATTAATTGAGACCATCTACCCATTTACATTTCTTTTAATTGAGCTCGTCAATGTGTGCTTGTCTGCACCTATCTTGCAAAACTCTTATCCATTGCTCATTAAAAATATATATCCTAAGGCAAATTCGTTCAGTGATTTGTCTAGTGATCAATCCATGCTGCCTTCATACATACATTCTTTCCTTTTCTCATATATGAAATACATACATCCTCAACACGTTTTTTATCAGACTTTTAAATATCGCCTTGTTTAAGTGTGATTATATGAGAAGTGAATTGGAATGTATGTTCCTTTGTAGCCAGATGCGCTATCGTATGTATCACATCATTTCTCGTATTCTTTATTTATAGTTGAGTGAAACATTGAAACAGTATGTAAAATTATGTCAAGAATAATTATTAAAATAGGAGATGAATTAGTCATAAAACAAAACTATTTTACATAAGTGACAGCTAAAAGTAAAGAACATACAAGAGAACATACTGTTTTGATAACTATTTGGACCCTAATTTTATAGTTGCAAACATCATTAATATAATTCAGAATATAAATGTAAACGCTTTGAAAGGATTTTTCTGTGATATACATCAGAAACATGGTGTTTCTTATCCATCACGAATTAAACACTTAAAAAAGTATATCAAGAACAAAGCTAAAGAGTCATAAAAAGTGATAAGAAGAAACACTGTCAAGTAATGGATTACAATCAAGAGTTAAGGACGAATGGAAAAAATATTATGTCAGGGTCATTCTCACAATTAAGAGTGAATTAGAGAGGAGCAAAACAGAGTAGAGATAAACAAGAAAATAGAGTTCGGTATTCGCGATACGCATTTAGGTTGACAAGTAAATTACAGAATTAAATGTTGTATCTGAAATTTATAATTGATTTTCCTAAACTCCCCTATCGTAATTTTCTCACTTTGATTTTTTAGCTTACTAAACCATACTACGATTCGAATGCGTTACTAATCATACAGATATTTAGAGTGCCTTTAGTATTCACTATTGGTGGATCAATAAGTATAACCAAATCAGGCAACTGGTTCATTCCACAACTGGTTTCTCGAAAACCGAACAAACGACAAATCACTAAATTACGAAGGATACACTTGATTGGTTGGTCGTTCTTGCGTCTATTTGAGTGGTAAATACGTATCCCATACTATTTATTCATTACTCATTGTACATTTCGTTTTTTAAATAGTGAAGATTTACAGTTCAGGTGGATGATTTTAATGTTGTATCGTCTTCTGAGCTGGATATTTGAATCGTGAAGCTCTTACTATTTTGCTGAACTACATCATCAGCATAAATTTTAGATAGAAGGAAAGTATTAGAATTTCTTCACATATGACTGACAGCTTGTTCTATCGACCTTCATCTTGATTGATTATTGTTGAACTTTAACCTGCCGTTGTCTACATTCATAATTGAGAATATTTTTCTTCCGTTATGTTTTGTTATAATTTGAAAGTAATGGTAAAGATGAGATATTGGATTTTAAACAGCTCAATACATTTCCAATAACAGAATTTCAGTTGTTGGCGTAACTCAGTCTACTCAACGATAAAAAATAAGGAGTTAAAAAATAAGAATTTTGAATTGTGAAATAAGACAAAGACAATATGGGTTGAAAGTGACTGTTTGTCAGAAGTAGGCTTACTTGGGTCAACGCTTCAACTACGATCGATTTTTTATATTCCAGCAGTTAAAAATTAGTATTTTAAGCAAACTCATAGTCTGAACATTAAGACAAGAAGTATATATAAAGAAGCATCATTGTACTATAACTATTCCTATAAATGTATTGTTAATTTTGATAGAAATAGGAAGAAAAATAACTTTAGTAGTAGGTAATCCAACAATTAACATCTGCGAAGTGATTGTATAGTAGGTTGAACCAGAAACTTAGGAAATAACTGAGACTGAAACTGATTTCTGTTATGACTTAACACAAGGAAAAATACGAACATTGTTGCAAGATAAGGATCTATTTCACCGTCCAAAATAAAAAATCTCCCCATTTTCTTAATTAGGAAATTCGCTCATTTACAACTTGAATTGATTATTCGGTATTGAAAAGCACAGGGAGTTAACGCAAAACAAAAGTTGGGGTGAACTGATGCAAATGAAATATCACACTCAAATAATGTAAATTTAATTGTTATGCAGATGAATTGTTACACTAAGCAAAAATGGTATGAACTCATACTTGATCCCTTCCCAATAGATTGTAAAGATGCTTAAACAGAAATCTGAACCTATATAAGATAATTGTCCAAAAGGTACATAGACTTAGTCGGCAACCTGAAATTCAGAAGACATTTAAATCTATGTAATTTGATGAGACATCAAATTAAATTACGAATACTTATTTTCAGAATATAACTTTTAATGTTTGCAGTGTATAAAACACCGTCCAGTGTTTCCAGGTTTACCATAGTGATCTAGCTTTAATTGACTCATGAATTCAAGTATTAAATTACTATAATATTCACAAAACCCGTTACTGATGCTAATCTCACTGTTAAAAAAACCTATTTTTTATTGGGATTAAATTGCTTAATATTTTCAGGGGATTTTTACGTAATGGAATGCATAAACTTTGTCTTCTTAAACCTCCAATTCGTCTACGAACATTAGATAAAATACAAAATAAAGATGACGAAAAGTCAATCATGCTAAGATCAGATAGTTTTCTGGTAAGTGTTTGGAATTTGTGATTATTAATATGAAGAATATAATACAAAGTGTATGTTTAATTTATATCATCAGTTACTAACTGAGAAATAGTATCAATTATGTGGTGTTAGAAGTCTATAATTCATTCAAATTCACCAAAATTATGTAGTCACACCATGGATCGATTACTTGCTTTGCTCATGGCCATTGAGTGATCGGATTTCTTTGACTGGAAACAGTTTTTTGTGGAATTAAATTTAATATATAGTTGAACCGCCAGATAGCAATAACCACCTGGATACCACTGTTAACCGTAATCCAAATGTAATAAAACTTATAAATACAAGGTGGTATTAGGCCACATATGCTAATAGAATCTGACTAAGCGTAGTGTTTAATATCAACAACCATAAATCTCAGAACCTTACGTACATAAATCCATACCCGTTAAATGAGGTGTTTATTAGGTAATGTGGTGAAGTTTTTCGTGAGATACTGGGTTCAATTCTTGGTGTTAATGTCAGTGTTGGGATTCAAGTACATGGTTACCAAGTACAGAACAAAACGTATATCCTTGACTCCATTTCTAGTCACAAGCCAAATATAATGATACTAGATAGTTTAAAAATAATATTACAAGGTGAATATTAAAAGTAACATAGTCAGTCCTATCTTCATACCTAAGCAGAATTTCTAGAATTTTTCAATGAATAGAGAACATACTTTCACATCAGTAGTAAGCAAAGATGAAACTCCTAAATCAAAATTTAGGCTAAATTTGATCAGATTTTAGTCGTGAATTCATATTGTTTTGTTGTTTTTTCTTAGGAAAATGCAAGTCTCACTATACAATTACAAAGTGCTCGCTTTCTAGATTTTGTTGAAGAATTAAAAATAGATCAGCAGGTAAGTTTAGAATAGAAGGAGAAATTGGGTACAAAAAAGATTCTCTATGTTACCATCTTTTTTGAAAATAAATTTAAATCCTTTTTCTTTTCTCTAAGTATCATCGCCATACACTTTGAACTGAACAAAGATTAATTGAAACAATTATAATATTGCAAAGATGGATTGTGGCTAGCAGTGGAATTTAGGACGCGCGTTTCGTCCTGTTTGGGGCTCGTCAGCTGGATGTACCTGCATAAGTTGATGTTCACTCTGGGACTCCAACTCAGTACCGTTCGCTTCAAACGCCATCGCGTTATCCACTTAGCTACTGAGTCCTGATAGCCACTTGCTTGTGCAATGGGCTGAAGTTTAATTCATTTGATATTGTTTTACTTGAATCTTCCCATTGATGTTTTAGGACTGATCAATTTCAGTCCTGAGTTCGAGTCCCAGAGTGAACACCAACTCTGAGATGCAGGCACATCCAGCTGACGAGTCCCAAACAGGACGAAACGCGCGTCCTGATTCCACTGCTAGCCACAATCCATCTTTGCTTAAAAAATGCATGTAAATTAAGGCAATATTGAGGCATACGCACAGTATGCACATATGCCAATAAGAGACTGATCAATTTCAGTCCTAAAACATCAATGGGAAGATTCAAGTAAAACAATATCAAATGAATTATAATATTGGTTATTAAGAAATAATGAGATTGTTCTAGCTGATCCGTGATCATGGATACCTACTCATGAAAGTCTCAACCTTTAAACTTAGACTTCACTAACATTTATTTAACGGATAGATTTATTGACCAAACGTTACGTTAATAATATGGTTACTATCGTACATTTGTTTACCTTATGCTAAAAAGCGCATACATACTGCACAATTAGTCGTTTTATAACTGTTCATGTATGTTTACTTTTGATTACTCAGCCATATTATTCTCATATTCCATACGAACATGGTACAGTAGATGAATATGAAAATGTTAATCAACAAATGAAAGAGTCTAGCAGGACTAACTTAGATTCCATGGCGGAATTCAGAGCTAAATCTGATACGAATTGGCTTCAACAAGGAGAAATTGGAAGTGAAAAACTTTACACAGAAATTCATGAGTTTCTCAAGAATCAAGTGGTAAGTTGGTACTACAAAATATTAAGTTATTGAAGAGATTAACTAGTTGTGAATTATACTCCATGATTTGATGAGAAGAAATATAGGCCAGGTTGGATTTGGTGAATTTTAATGTTGTATCGTAAAAACACTCACTGAAATACACACTGGCTAAGTTAAGACAGAATTAGTTAAATTAGGTAATAAGCCAGCAGAGTTTGAGCAGTTATTAATTTACAAATTTATCTGATAATTTACGCCAACAAATTATGTATTCCACGGCTGTATTAAATTTTAGACCGGTGACTGTGTAATGTGTAGAGTTCTATGAACTAAGTGAGTGACAATGAAGGTGCAGTATTGTAAAACTAATTAAATAACAGAAACTTAAGGTATGAACAAGAAGAGAGAATACGTACAAGAGGTCAATATTAGATATTTCATGAATGATAATTGAATTATTGTGCTTCTTTTAGACACTGAAATCTCGGTATTTTTATCCGTATGGTTAGTTCTACTTTTTATGGGAGCTTTGAAGCTTTAGTCAAGTTTCTAATAACATAACAGATTGCTTCAGATTGATGATAAATGTTCTCCCTATGATAAGGTTAAACTATGGAGTGAATATTCAGCAAGTCATATGAAAGCACAAGACCCACCGTTTTCAGATTTCATAACTTATCACTCTACTAGTTGAGAGAGCTCAAATAAATCATGTTTATGTAATCTTCTGAAAAATATTAAAAGTCAGCTACTCTTTCTTTCAGTCATGAGAATTTTTATTATTGTCTAGTATTCTGTTATAATTGCAAAAAACATCTTACACTTATCTCTTATAGGCAAATTGTTCATCAAAAAAAGAATACATGCCATTATTTTTTTCTCGGCTATAATTATAATGAATACAATGAAATCTGATCATTAAACGTATTATGAATAACATATGTAATATGAATAAAATACATTGAATAAATTACTATATATAAAAGCCTACCGCTTTTGATATTGTAATAATTTTTGAAAAACTTTAGATCTTTGGTTATAGTATCAGTCAAGTATTCAGACGAAATGACTATAATTTATGGACAAATCAATGATATTAAGGATAGCAAGTTTCCCAATTATGCGCAAACTTCATTCATCCATGTATTCGAACAGCATTTTGGAGTTATAGCTTATGTCAGTTCGTGATGAATAACCTTGTTTTAATTCCTCATCCTATTATTCCTAAAACAAATTTATAACCCTTTTGTTACCGTAATAAGTAGGTGAGCTGTATCAAGGTCACTTTAGCATCGCTCAAGGGTCGTCCATACATTACAGTCTCCCAACTAAATGTTTAAACAAATACTAATAGTCCAGTTTAGCAGAGTTTTATTTTAATAGTTTAACTAATTAAAAATTTTCGAAGACACGGTTCAGTGTAAAAAAAACACCAAGGACGAATACAACTGTGGAGTCTAGACACGGAACGAAATAGTTATTTAGCTTGTCCGAGTTACCAGTGACATTTCGACTGACAAAAAAACAGCGTACAAAGAATGGAGTAAATTTATTTAGTTTGATGTGTTTTATTAAACTCGCAAGAAACCAATGACGCAAATGAATCAAAGGTCACTATTGCTGTGTCATGAAGTATCGGTGTTGTGTTGAGTACATAATTAAAAAGTACTTTCTACATAACCTAACGTTTACCATAATTACAAGTTATGTCAGGAATAATGAAGCGTTTGTAATTATTACAGTTATATTTGATTAACAATATTAATCCATTTTGACGTTTAAACAATTGGATTTCCAATCTTCAAATTATGTTAGATAAAGATGTCAAAATTTATGAGGCTTTTAAAAACAACAACTAGATTTACTAGTAACCGAATAGGAGTGAACAATAGCAAAAGCCATAAACCATGGAGTGAAAAGAAATGAATTTGTTCATTTACAATATAGAAACATTGAAAAAAGCACTAGTTGGTATGAAGGCAACAAAAACTAGTTGCTGTGATAATCACGGCAATTTCACGAAAATAATGTAAAGAGGATAACTATATAAAACAAGTTAAATAATTTTATCTACTTGATGAATGGTAGAATATGAGAATATCATATTTTATCACATTTTTCTATTGTGGAACTACTCCTTGGATTGGTGATTTCTAGTGTGTTATCATAGTGTAAACAAAAATAATTTAAAGGAAGATATAAAAAGTTTGTGCAAAATATCTAGAGGGTGACCAACTTTTAATATTGGAAAAATTTATAACTTAATAAACTGGAAAATCAGAAAATGTTATATTCATTCTAGCAGAATAGCATGAATCCATTTTTAGTTCGTTGGTTCTCGTCAGCTGCTTACAACCTATGATATTTAAAATCATAATTAATTTTATTCCTATCAATGTTTACTTGTTTCTAGCCGTTTGAACTGTTGTCACAGTGTTCTTTCATCACATAAGGTATATATTTACAATATTCAGTTTATTAAATTTATTTACACCCTTGCTATACTATACGAATATGTCTTCAACATAACTTCCAATCAAACTCTTTCATGTAAGTAATTTAAACCCATTAATTATGATTTTAAATATCACAGGTTGTAAACAGCTGACGAGAACCAACGAAATAATAAAAAAATGAATCCATGCTATTCCGCTAGAATGTTTGTTCTTGCTCTTTTCAAAATGATAAAGAGAACTATGTGTATGAAATGTTATATTCAGCAAATAAAGCGAACGTCACATTGAAAATGTTATTACGGGAACTATGATACTTATCACTTAAAAGTAGTATATATATATATACCAATCAATGTTAGACCATCACTGGAAACCTGGGAGCTTTGGATGGTCGTTTCATCTTAGTATGGGACTCTGCCGAAGCGCCCATCCATGATTTTGCACGCGGAATTCTAACCCAGAACTTTCGGTCTCGCACATAAACTCTTAACTTCTAGATCACTAAGCTGTCATCCAACGGTGTTAATGGCTAAATTCAAACAATCCGCAATATTGTGCAACCATCTTCAATTGTTCTAATGAGAATCTGTGACCAGCGGATTTCAATCGTGTTGAGTATGAAGCAGTTGCCTGCCATAGACAATGGAAAATATCGCTCAATGTTGTGGACCGATTAGAGTTAAGCATTAACACTTCTGGATGTCGGCTCAATAGTTTAGAGGTTTAGTATTCGCGTGCGAGACTGAAAGTCCTGAGTTCTATTCTCGCATGCGTGATCACAGATGCACACTGCTGAGGAGTCCCATACTAGGAAGAAGCGGCCGTTAAGTGCTTCATGGTCTCTAATGGTGATCTAAAATTGATCAGTCCATGATTTCAATGAAATTCAACACTCTCCACAACCCTATACTGAAGAAAATAGTATAATTATAAAATGTTTATTTTAAAATAGTTATTGTATCTACATGACAGAAAAAATTTAAAAGTCGAAAATAACAAGATAGAGATAAAAAACACTGTGACAATTTCATAGCTTATTATTAAATTAGTTGATAACTGAAGTTCCATCTTCATTAACTCGAGCTTCCAAGGAAACAGCCCCAAGCATTGGACAGTAAGCACCTTGACAGATTGATTGATCTAAACATAAATAAATGAAATCAAATACAATAACATTTTTAACTAAAATAATTGGAATTCGTCGGTCGACAAAGCTTAAGTAAAATATGAATTTGTATTTATATGTTCCATAAATAAATATATGTATATGTTTCGACAAAGAAAGAAGTAATGAGTATTTCATTAAATACAGTGCATTCTCATAGTATGGTCTTTCTGTTTATTGTTGGCTATTATCTCTAATATCAGATGGGTTTTGTGGACATTATAGAAATTTCAATGGTTAAGATCATGAGTCAGTTGAAGGCATAATATCAATATGTCCATTGACACTCTTTTCTATTTGCTTCCGCTGAGATGAATTTATGGTTATTCAATTCTGTCCTAACCTGTAGTTATGAATCACTGTCTGAACATGAAAGTAGAAATAAGAAAAAAAAATTTCAAAATGAAACTTTAAATAGCAGAAATTAAACTGTCATTTTCTATGCTGAACTTACAAAATAAACTGAGTACAACAAAATTTGATCCATATTTGTTTTCCGCTCTACAAGAATAATTTCCATAATCACCAACTCGTACATTACGAATTAGTAGAGTTGAGAAAACATCAGTTACCTAAATTTGAAGTGTATTTTTGAAAGAAAAACAACATTGACAAAAGTAATTCTAATGTGTAATCGAATATTTTTGGAAATTTTTCTTTATAGTTAATAACCAATTACTAAATTAGAGATAATAAATTTATCGAATTACTGAATCGAGACTGAAATCATCTATATTGCATTAGAATACCTGTGTACTGAAGAGTGAAAGCATGAACAGAAGAAATAAACACAGGCAAGATGGTCTAAACATTCGATATTGTGCACTTTATAAGCAGATCCTAGTAACCTGTCAGTAATTTATTATTTGTGTTGGATATTTTATCTAACAAAATCAAAATCCTTTTCTAGTGACATAAAAATCTTCACCAAGTAGATATCTACCAAAGTTCGCGACAAAATGTTGGAGTGAAAATATCGACAACTTACATAAGTATGTTGTTCTAAAAACTCCCTTTCCAGAATTATATTGATTTATCAGTTAACAACACCTTCTTTATAATTATTTTGATTTGTTCTGGATGTTATAAAACGAACTACAAATAGTATTCAGGAACAAATGCTTATTTATTATTAATGAAATAATTCACTATTATCTGAATACTTGGATGTATTTACTTTTACAGTAATCCGTGTTATATATACAAAGTAATCAACCATTTCCCCAACAGTCATACGCTGCTATAAATCACTTTTTAAAAAAAAACAGTCTGAATATTGCATTGAAAAAATAAACAGACAATAAAGGGCTTAGAAGTTTAATTCAGAGTCTTTAGTAGTTTGATTTACGATACTATCACTTTTACAAGTTATTTAGATAGGAAAATTGCAAAGATAAATGTAATCAAATGAATAGTTGGCTGAATACAAAGCTTGAAATTCTCGAAGAAATCACTTAACAAAACAGTGTACTTGCGTTTATAGCTGTTAAACATGTATGAGAAATAAAACGACATTATATCACAGTGTTTGGGAGTCATAAGTGTCTAAAAGAGATTGTTTAATGAATTACAGTTTGATTAAAAATACTGGGAATCATAGATTAGAAATATGGGAGATTATTGTCTACCTAATGATTATGAGGGTGAATACAAAATATATTGTAAATACTAGGTTGACGGCAGTTATAACAATTATTGATTTCTACTCACTCACTGTGTCTGAATGCTTGTAATTGTATTGAAAGGATATTCTCTAGTGTTAATCTGGTTCACTTCTTCAGGTCGAGAATCCTAGTTCTGGTATAACGTGATTAGTTTTATTAACGTAATATCCTAATATACGTGTAACAGGAAAATATCGTAAACCATACGTTATATCATTCGACACTAATGGGTATGAGGAAAGTACCCACTGAAGACGAAAAAATGGTCGCCCAATATTGTGGATAGATTAAAATCGGATCTCGGATCGGTGGTCTAGGAATTAACGGTTCGTGAGTAAGACCGACCCTTGGTTTCAGGGTCGACTATGAGCACTGATGAGAAGTTCTGTAGTAAAACGAAACAGCGGTCTGGTGCTTCCAGATTTTTTAATGGTTGTTTAACCTAGATCAGGTTTTGATCTCAATAAAACAAACATTTGGTAAACAAGAACAATATATTAAAAAGTATTCATTTGAATTAATAACACGGAAGCTTACATTTGTTCCAGCTGAACCATAACTTTGAGCTTTTTCAAGTTCATAACGATTATTATCAAATAGGGGTTTATTATTAGTTATCGGATCATAAATTCCAGTATACCATAATAAATCAGGATCAGGATATCCATTGACAATGCATTCCAATGTCATGTCATAATTTCCATCTGGTGCCTAAATAAGAATTTTATAGGTAAAAAAATAAAAACGAAGCCACTTAATAGTGATGAAACAATACCTATTTTTCAAGACGAAGTATACGAAGATTGATACAGTGGTTCTCGTTTCAATATAAATAGGATGAAACCACAGTAAAAGATTAGACAAGTGGTCACATGTACTATACGATTTCGACTAATCACAGGTGAAACACGAAAAGATCAATCCACAATAGTTAGGCAACCTAGTTACTGCTCAAAATCATAGTCACAAAACTAAACCATCACAGGGAATCTTAAGAGGTCTTAACCATTCAGTCCAAGTTTCTTTTAGCTTAGCTTTGACTAACTCGTAAGTATCAATAGGACGCTTTTTTCATTATGTAACAAAATATCTGATAAGTCCATCAGTGATCAATAAATGATAATTCTTCAGTAAATTCAACGTGTTTTTATAGAGTAAAATCTGTTTATTTATCAAAAGTAAATTATTTTCAATATCAAATCGTTAAGGGTAATGGTAATATTTACCTGTCCATAAGCTCCCTTGAACCGAGCCTCACGAACATGTGGTGCATAATTAACTTCCACCATTACATCATATTCAGCCGACCCAGCTACGTTGTTAACTGCATAACATCGATAAACACCACGATCATAACGATCAACGCGGGGAATATGTAGTGTTGAATTCTTAAAAAGAATTATTAGTAACACCGAATGTCAATGTAATCAAGGCAATCGATTTCAATAAAACCTAAATAAGTTGAAATTTTGCCAGTCTAAACAATTGATATGCAACATGGATAAAACTATGAGCTCAATAGCTTTTCTTGAAAATAACTTTAGTTCAGCCATTTTTAGAAAAAAATAAGGAAGATTTCAGTAAAACGTACATAAATTCTTTGTGGTGAACCTGGAAGTGACAGAGGCCTTCCATTAGCTCTAGTCCAACTTATCATCGGTGGTGGCGAGCCTTGTGCCCGGCAAACTAACGTTAAAGAGTCTCCTTCCGTCACAATTTTAGATGTCAACCCCGGGAGAATTTCAGGAGCGCGTTTCACAATAATATTCCCATATGCTACAGGCCACTGATCAACTGGCGTAGTTCCTGAATATCAATAAATCGAAAAAATCGAATGTCAAACAAATTAAAAAAACTATTTCAATGATAAACAAACTCGATGAAACGATGAGATTACGTTTAAATAATAAATATTATTAGGAAAATAAACTAATGAGCTATTCAGTTTATAATTAAAAAGAGTACTAGAATAGATCCAAACGGTTATTTAGTAATTTGGAGTTATCAGTGACTGTTTATAAAGATGAATTACAGAAGCTTTATGTGTAATAAATAAATGTCCAGAGGCTCATCATCTTCACGGTTAAGCTGGTCTTGATAGTATTTTTAACTATGGCATAAAACGTTCATGGGCATAAAAAATATAAACATAAAAACAAATTACGCTATGATTGAAAACGGTTTTACTAGTTCCTAAGAGTACATACTAAGTAATCTGTAAATATCAAGGTGGTTCGAAATTTCAGTAGACAGTATTATACCCTGTAAGGGTATTATTCCTTTCTGTTAGATAGATGTGGGAAGACACAAGAATTATGGTTTAACCTTCAAAATGAGAGTAAGGTGGTGAAACAAAGGAAATGTAAGTCATTCACCCCTAAATTTGATGTCAGGACTTTTTCATCAAGCAAACTTGGTTTCAGTAAAAGATAAAACGATAAAGATAAACTGATAAAGTTAATTCAATAATTTGAAGATTGTTTAGAGTAAATAAGAAATGTAATTGGTTGCAATACAAAACAAAGACAGTTATTGAAAAACATGGTGAGTATTTAGTTGAAACTTCCAACATGTAGTATTACAGGTTAAAAGAAACATTAATGCCATTAACCAGCTATGGTGATGTAAATAAGAAAACAAAACAATAATCATATTACCAGCCTCATAACTTTCAGTGCAAATCAAGGAATCAAAAAGAAATTTCAGTTTATAAAAATTTTAGCTACTTAAATTAAAAACGATCCCAACGTAGTGAAAGATTTTGACAAATTCTCTTTAAGTCCTAAAATAAGTAATATTTTCCTAAACTTACTCAATTCAATAACACACCTGAATTGCGTATCTGCATCATTAATATCTACAAATCGAACAATCAGTTGGTAGGTACGTAGTTTGTTTACGTCGACACCAGCCATATTAGGTGCATAGTTGGGTCTTCCAGGAAGAAACCTAACTGCATATTTGCTGACACCATGGGGACCACGACGAACAGGATCTTTAAGTGTACTACCAGATGAGATTTGTTGTTTGTCTACAGTACGATACCAACTAATTTGCTACAAATATGACAAAAGAGACAAGAGTTGAATTGTTTTCATACTTTCAAAATAAATGTGACTCACTAACCAATGACCGAAAATAACGTGAATCTGTTATTAAGATCATATTTGTTGAATACTCACCAAAATTAAGACAAAGGTTAATTTATTTATAATGCTTCGTATCTAAACTGATATGTCTTAAGTTTCACTTGTGAAAACATCTTATAAACATAGGTTACAATAAATACAATGATCGGGTAAATAAATGTCTCACGCAATTAAAGTATTTTACTTTCTTAATTATTTTTTAGGAACTTAGTTTCTGTAGATATTTGGCAAAACAAGTATTATTACTTCTTTGGAATTTCATACTTCTTGCGAAACAGGATGACATGTGTAACTCCCGCACTAGACTATCAAGAGAATACTGTGAAATTACTTTTCGCAAATTAGAAGCTAATTAACTGATAATCCAGCCATATAATAAATTGACACCAGGAAACCACTTACTAACTTACTTACGGCATAGGCCGCCCACAACCATCCTCTGTCCTGGAAAATCCTTTCCACTTGTTTCCAGTTGCTATTCATTCTCTTCATGTCTGCTTCAAATTCTCGACGCAATGTGTTCCTTGGTATTTCTCTTTTCCGATCCCCTTCAGGATTCCAAGTTAGAGCTTGCCTCATGATGCAGTTTGTTGGTTTCCACAATGTATTTCCCACCAACCAACACCAACGTCTTCCCCTAATTTCCTCTACAGATAGAAGCCGATTCACTATCTCTCACAGTAAGCTGATGATGGTAATATCCAGCTTTCCCTTAGATGTGGAGGTCTTCAAAATCAATTCAACCACCAGAAGAAAGTGTTATGACTAGTGGTCGACTGTTATGACTGCGTCATCAATTGTTATTATCTGGTCACTGATTTTTATGTTTGGATCACTTATTACTTATACTTGTAAAATCAAGGAACTACTGCAATTCCCACGACGCAAAAGTAAGAACACAAGTACAAGTGAAGATTTATTAACTCCATAACGCGACGACGACCGTAGTCAAAAATATACTCATTTATATATTGATTGTACACACATTTCGACTAATAATTAGGATGAAATCACATATATGAAAAACACTTACAGTTATAAGAAATCACATGCTACATATCATGCTGAGTATAATCCATGTTAATTTAATACAAGAATATCGTATGTTATACAGAATAAAATATCACAGTCGAAAACAAAACAAATACTACACTGAGTAATCATCACACTGAAAAAACGGGAGTAATACTGAACAAAAATCATAATGAGTAAAAGAATCCAATTGAGATTTTTTATCCCGTCATAGCAGAAAGAGAAATAGTGAGAGTGAGCAGCCTTGTCTGACACTGATCCCCACTTAGAATGCATATGCCTGCTATCTTTCATGCGCAAATTTGTAGTGTACTCCGTCGTATGAATTCCGAATGATGTTGACGACCTTTTCAGTTGCTCAGTTCATAGTGTTGAAGATTCCAAAAGATCATCATATCCACGCAGTCAAACGCGTTCTCATGATTAAGGAAGTCGATGTATAGTGACGATTGCCATTCAATTGATTGTTCAATGGTGATCCGTAATGTCGCGATTTGGTCTGTGAACGACCGATCCGTAAGAAATCTAGCCTGGCGATCTCAAAGTTGTGCGTCTACTGAGTACTTCATCCGGTTCAGTAACACTCCGTTGAAAACCATTCGTGATACTGAGAGTAGTGTGATGCCTCTGTAATTCTAACACTTGCTCAGATCTCTTTTACTTGGTATTTTGATGAGGTATCCTGATTTCCTGTCTGTCGACACTTGTTCTTCCTTCAAAATCTTGTTCGATAAAACATGGGGCACGCTTGCAGTCACTCCTATGTCTGACTCCAGTGTTTTAGCTGGTATGTTATCAAATCCTGCTGCTTCCCCAATCTTTATTTGTCCGATGACCGGTCATCCTGATTTCTTAGATAGTTGATGTAGTGACATCTATAGGAAGGTTTGTAGGTGCTGCTTCGATGTCCAGTGGGTTCAATGAAGCTAGTCTATTCAAGAGTTCTTCAAAGTATCCCACCCATCCGTTCCTCTGCCCATGAATCTCGATGATTGGCTTGCCTTTTTTATCCTTGACTGGTTTCTCTAGTCTACCATATTTCCCTACTAGTTTCTCCGTTAAATCATATAGTTGTCTGCTATTCCTTTCTGTTGCAGCTTTTACACTGTCGCTGTTAGGTCTTCCATGTATTTCTGCCTGTCAGTTCTAATACTCCTCTTCACCTACTTGTTTGCCTCAGTGTATTCAGCTTGTCTTGAATTTCTCCGTCCTTGTTCGAATGTTGTTAATTACTGTATTCTTGTTCTTCGTTTTCTTAATTCTGTCCATAGAGATCCATTCTTTATGACGATGCATGTTGCAACCCAGAACCTCCTGACGCATTAGACGTGGTGGTTTCTGACCCCTTTCCAGTTGCCCTACATAGTGCTTACTTTTTTCAGTAGACCTTGTAAGGTTTGGAATCTGCTGTTGAAAGCTATCTTGAATTCGGTAAGTTTGTCAATACCTCGTAGGAAGGCTGTGGTGAACCTTTGTAATAATGCTTCTCCAGTTTTCCAGTGTACCCTTAGCTTCAGTTTCATCCTAAAAACCGAAAAGTAGATGGTGATCTGAAGCTATATCAACTCGTCTCCTGACCCTCACAACTTCCATTGACATTTAGAATTTTCTAGTGATGTAAATATCATAGATCTGATTCTCGATAGTGTGATATGTTGAGATCCATGTAACTTCGTGTATAGTTTTTGTGAAAATATTGCGCCGCCTACAACAATTTTGTTGAATGCACAATAATTTCAAAATCAGTCGCAATTATTGTATCTTCCTCTCACTCCCCTGTCCATTTCGTCCCATGATATTTTCAGACCCATCGTTGTCCATTCAGACTTTGATGTTTAGATCTCCAATCAGGATAGTCAAGTCCATTCCTGGGCACTTCGCTATGATCAATTGCAGTCTCTCATAAAACTGATCTTCATTGTCGTCCTTGTTATCATCGGTTGGAGCATAACATTCGATAACATTCATTGTGATTTCCTTCCTCTTTATTTCGAAGGATCCTTTGATGATCATCGATCCATGAGATTCCCACCTTATAAGCGCTCTGCTCTATGTGCTTCTTAGTGCAGCATGAAAGAAACTTCCTGAGTGTGTGGAGCATTTTCGTCTTCGTGACCACAGTATGGCAGCATCTCTCTACAATCTATCTTTTTCTGTTCAGCTTTGGTCTAATGAGTTTGACTAATTCTGGTAGCAGCCAAGTTGTATATTCTAATTTCCAATAGCTATTTGATTGGTCCTTCCAGTCTTTCACACTGTCCGAACATTCCATGTACCTATATAAGTTGTTGCTTTGGTTGTTAGAAGGGTCATCGGCATCGTGACTTCCGAAGACTCTCGACTTTCATCATGAGACGCCATAATTCTTCTAAAAGCAGATCTTTTAACTCTGAAGGCAGAGTTTAAATAGTTTTTTACATGTCGTATAGCTGGCGACCACGAAAAAGGTTGAGCTTGCCACTAAATATCCAGTTTCGTGGAAATTTTATTGACGCGAATGATGTGTCTACCGTTTCCAAGTACTCAAACCAATAGACTGAAGCACGTTACAAAACAATTATGGACCATCCTTCAAGCAAATGGCTATCTGTTTATCCAGAAAATTATTTGGCACGCAGTGGGAGAATCAATCATTTGGGGTTGATCAACTGGTATTATTGATCCAACTACCAATGTACCCCAAGGAGATTCAGTGGTAGTAATACTTGAAAACAATTAAAAAAACAAGAAAACACAGTGACAGTTTAATCCCAGCGAGCTCTGAATTACGGAAAAGTGCAGTTACGAGACTAAGGCAAACACAGCATATTTGCCAAATATATTTCATGTTGTGAAGGGATAACCTACATAACATCCATAATGACTAGCTACAGACATCAATTTTAGTGTCAGCAATATCAATGATAATATAAAGAAGTCCCATTAATATTAGTCCGTGAAGTTTCGCATAAAAATCTATCGGTAAAAAGACTTGAACATCTTACCAGAAAAGTAAATGAAACAATTTTAGAGATATTATGGTGCAATCAGAGTCCAAATGAGCTGATCAGTAACGATATAAAAACTGTCAGCTATCAAAAACGTATAGTAGTACTTTTTATTTAGTATGTGTCCATATATGTAGACACGTAAAATTTGCAAATTGTGTCATAGAATTTAATAAATATAGCTCTCCAGTCGAACCGCAACTGAATGATGATACGTTTGACAAAATATTATAAAGGCGTATGTCTACTTACAGACTCCTGTTGTTCCTCTATGACTGCTGTACAGTTAAGATAAGCAGTACCTTTTTCTTGTACAACTGCCGTTTCGATTCTATCAGTGATCTGAGGAATGAAACCTTCAGAATAATTGCATCATACTAATTAACATATACTGACCATTTGATAAAGGACATATAATCGACAAGAAAACAACATAAGGAAGTGAAATCCTCAGATGCACTTTGGAACACATAGTTCGTAAAGTGGCTTCTCATAAATAAATAACAGTGGTTAACTTAAACAAATAAATAAACATTTTCTTAGTTCCACCACGTTCGTGGTTAGTTCTTTTTATTACCTCATGTCAAAAATCGACAAACAATGTGTTTCATGTGAACAGTAGTGAAGAAACTTTGTTGCATTAATCAGTAAGTTGTGGGTCATGGACTAGTAAATGTATTAATAGTTATCGCTCTCGGTTTCTCCTAACGTTTCTCACGCGTACCTTTCAGTAATAATGTCATGTTTGCTCTGTTATGTTGTCGAGTTAGCCATAGCACCTGGGTAGGGTAGGAGGTTAGTTAACAGTAGTTATTAACAGCGTTGTTTAACTTCGACACATGCTGGGAGATCACACCACCAGCGTCCAACGTGAGCAGACCACGACCATCCTCATAGATTAATGCGGCTGTGGGTAGTCTATGATGAAAGTTTTTGTTGTTGAAGTGTCACCCATAATTTCAATCAATCGGCTTAATATCCACGTAACATATGCCATCAAGATTTTGGGTATCCGTTAGAATACATTCAGACGACAGCGACTTGAATTTTTAACTATCAACAACTAAGACAACGAATATTTAGACAGCCAAGGTTTTCATACTGCTTTCTAACTCCTTGTTTTGTTGTCACAAGTAAGATCAATACCAACAACCTTTGGGTTTGGATGTTATGATCTAAGTTTCTTCTGAAAAAGTCTTGTCACAGTTTCATCTCCCTAGAAAAACCACTTGTTTTTGTGTCTTGTCTTGACAAAGTTGTAGAATTATGGGATAGGAATTATGATGCTGTAATTACAGACATTCTAAAATCGTAGATTTGTCATGATATGAAAACCTAATTTATAAGGTCTTCCGTGGAACTCACAACATTGTCTATTCTGATTCCTCGTACTATGAAAATGAACAATATAGTGTTTAGCGTTTCTAAATAACAAATTTAAGATGGAGATAGAACAGTAATCTATTTAATGTGAATTAAAGAGATTTGTTACACAAGAATGACCACACCTGAAAGACCGAGCCGCGAAATTTTATTGAATGCATGTTTCCTCGTTCACCATTGTCGACGTTCTCTTAGTGTTACATGTTGAACTTCAATCTTCTAAGTGATATGTTGAGCTTCAAAGACCATGTGGTTAGGGAACATTGCCACTACAAACTCATGACGTACAACTGCGTATCGCAGCCTGATATTATAGTAGTGTAGGGCCAGCGAAATGTCACTAAGCCCTAGCCAAATCATCCGGCAGTCGGGTCATTGAATATCGAGCAATTCATCGATCCTCGTCAAGGTCAGAGACAACCAACGCGCATAAGTTAATCGTATAACATGGACTGGCCCATGCAGCAGTGGTCTCACTTTCGATTGTATCTACTTTAACTAATATTTCTGTAATAACGTCCTCTGTGTTGTACAGTCATCAAAGCACCTATGGTACCTTGATACGTCGATGGAGTAGTACACGTAAGGTGCTGACTATGAGGTGTGACTTCGACATTAGCTAGTTTGTCACATCATTCACGTCTAACTCGAGTAGGCCTCCAACCATTTCAACATAGGTCATCTACGTTGGCGATCTACAGAAGCACACACTTATATGTGCACAACTGAAATTTCTTTGTCCTTAACTTTATAATCGCGACTTGTTGGCTCATTAGCTTTTAGCACATTCGTTACCCTTATCTAATGATGACGCTTCCTAAAGGAAAAAGGCTCCATTTACATTCTTTTATACATGCTTTCATATTTACAGTAATTCACTCTGAATTAATTCGAAAATGAGAAATATTTGAATTACTTTTCGGACTAGTAATCTCCGCAATAACGCAGTTTAAGTCAGGAAGAACTAAGTGAGCACAAGCTAACGTATTGTATTTGGAACTAAAAATGAGACACACATTGTGTACAAAAGAATCAATAGTTCGTATAAAAAATCACACGTATGACCACTAATTACTCAGAATAATGATGCGTCTAAGTTGGTATGAAGTTATTGCTATATATCTTTAAGATTTTTCAATATTTGCTCAAGTATACTTTCCTACCAGATCTGTAAATGGTCTTACTAAAATAATGCAAGTAATCGATCTTTATTTTGTATATGGTGATGTAAATAAACGAGGCCAATTGTGTAGTGTCGCCAGACAGTGAAACGAGAGCATAAAATGAAAGTAAAACTAGAATCTTGATTCTACGCTTGAGAAATTAGGATATATTGTGAAGAAAACTTCAGAAATATGTATTTTTGTGAAGATATTCAACGGTGACCACTTGAAGCTTAGTAGAATTACCAATCAAAATGTTAACGGTAATATTAGAAATAGTTCACAAAGACCACTTGTTTTCTTCAAATTTATTTAGCTTCGACTGTCATTAATCTCACTAGTTATATTTGAATGTCTCAGGAAAAGAATTGGTTACGAATTTATCCCACCATAACGGAAGAGTAAGTTTTGATACCAAAGCTAAATCGTAAACTCGGAATCTCTGGAACAGAGTAAGCAGCAACAGATCAACCCTTAATTTGAGTAGAAAAGTGGTAACGAGAAGAGTAGGAGAGCTAGAAATTATATCCATACCTTTACTCAACGTTCAGTCAAAGGATAAGAGATATTTCGGATGTTTTTGTCTCTTGGATTTTGTTGTTTTCAGAATTTATAAGACGTTGGCATTTACTAGATATCGGTTATCAGGACTAAGGAAATCCAACAGAGCCCTACAAAGTATCGTCATCATGTTTGTGTATCTCTTATGTGCGCTGAATTCATATCTTCAAACATTGTTTTACTTTGTCCAATTCTCTTCCCTTCGATTCTTCTGTGTATTGCATCATACTACTTATTAATATTCAGTAAGCAGTAATGTTCTTAGCAATTTCTGCGCTTAGGTTGTAGCGCAAGTTTATTGTGTAATATTCTGTAATAATTACATATACGTATAACATTTATTGTATTTATCATTATCATCACTTTTGTTTAATTCTTGTAGCAGTTATTTGCAATTCTGTATGGTCGTTTAATCCTTTTTTAAACGCGACAGTTTACAAATTCTTTGCTCTTAGATCCGTTTTTGCTTATTGATAAAGATTAGACAGCTATTAGCTGTCATTTTCACTACCATATGTTGCAATTATTCTTTATGTTATTAATTGCGGGAAGCCTTTTCTATTTCAGACTTACAGACGCTCAAGGCGCTACAGATACCTCACAATTTAAAGTTTGTAGATCACTTATTTATATTGTTCCATAAAGAACCGTGTTATAGACAAATCACTGTCTTGTGAACTTCAACTTCGCGCGTATCTCGACTGTGTGATTCAGACGCTTCGATAGATTAAACAAACATGCCATTTTCACCTGAAAATACAAATTTACCATGCTTTCTTTTCAGTAGCAAAATACATTTATTATGTGAATTGCTCATTTTAAAACTTCACCTCAATCTGATAATAATAGACAAAATGAAAAGTAAATTCATATAGTTTCGTAAATGTAGTTCTCATTATTATACCGAAATTTACTAGTGAACACAAAATGTATGGTTCTGTCAATAAATTAGGATGCAGAACTAATAAGCACAACATTAAATATCTGTTGTAGCTTTATTATATAGTCTTGATCAAAGTGTAATACATTCTACCGATATATAATAATGATTTTTATTTGTAAGCAAGGATGGATGGTGGGTGACAGTGGAATTTAGGACGCGCATTTCGTCCTATTTGAGGCTCGTCTGCTGGATGTACCTGCATCCCAGATTCGACGTTCACTTCAGGAATCGATCTAGTACCATAATTTTTGCTTATAAGGCTTATGACTTAAGGAAATATCGAGGCAATCCGCTCAGGATGCGCATATGACAACAAGAGACTGGCCAATTGCAGTCCTAAATAACAATGGGAAGATACAATCACAGAACACCAAGTGGATTTTCATTTGTTCTTTCATACCAGTAGTAATGGGATTAAAAATATTCATATGATAAATATTTTAACTGAAATGAAAATGAAAGCCTTCTATCATTTAGCTTCTGAATAACTTTTTAACCTATAAAGTATTATAGATACTTTGAAATATCGCAAGAACTAGACTTCTAACGCTTGCTAAAGCTATAAGTGTTAAAACATTGAAATCTAAATGATGAATTTATAGGGAGAAGCCGTGACCAGTGGATTTCAACCAGGTCTGTTGTGAGATATCAGCTCACTGAAGACAATGGTGCACGGTGTCGCAATTTCGTGGATAAGTTGAAGTTAGACATTAACACTGTTGGATGCCGGCTCAGTGATCTAATGGCTAGGCGCTCGCGCGCAAGACTGATAGGGTTCGAATCTCGCGGTGGTCGGGATCGTGGGTGCGCACTGATGATGAGTCCCATACCAAGATGAAACCGACATCCAGTCCTTTCAGGTTTTCCGATGTGGTCTAGCTTCAATTGACTCATGATTTCAACTATTGAAATTACTAAAATCTCCACAAAACCCCTTCTGATTGTGGGGAAATATTAACCAGTATTTTCTGACCCTGTTAACGCAAACCATGTTTGATTTATTAATATTTTTTCACCTCTCATTTTCATTCCATGATTACTTCATTTTTCAATTCTTTTCAATATAATTCAGTGAGAATTTTGTTTTCGATGAAATCATTTACTTAAGTTGTATATTCGTATTTATATTTGTATGGCAAACATATGTCTATA